TGGCAGCCCAGCTCCAGGTTGAGCTGTTGTTCAGCATCTTAGCTGTGGAGGGCAGTGTCACTGGCCCTCATATGTGGGATCCCAACCGGGGCCCTCTGGCGTCCCAAGCCAGTTCTTAACCATCGCGCCACTCGGCTGGTCCATCACTTTGCATGTTTTCAGAACCTTCGGGGCAAAACCTCTGGAGTCAGCCTGCCTGTCTTTGTTCTCTTGGTCCATCACTTACAGGTTGTATGACCTTGGGCCAATTATTCAGATTCTCTGGGCCTCAGTTCCTTATCTGTGAAATGGACATAGCACCTTACAAAAACCCTATGAAGTCTACTTAAAACATTTAGTTAGCACAGTGTCTGACAGAGAGCACAGAGCAAATCCTCGATCTAGAAATGGACAGTGATCAAATGATGGTGGTGAGTGTGGCAGCTCTTGATTATGAGTCTATCTTTGTGCCATATTACTTTATCAAAACCAAAAACGGATCACCGATAGCATTTTCCTCCTAAAGCACTGTACCCCAAAGGAGGGATATTTTGTAAACATGCTGAACAGAAACCCACTGTATTTCAACCTGACGACATCATACGTCAGTTTGTTTTCTCTTCATTTTTCAGTGACGTTGAGAATGTTATGTCCTGTTCCCGGTACCTACTAGTGGTTGTAAACCCCACTCTGGGTGTGGCCGGGGCGCCTAGTATATCAATATTTGTTCAGAGCCTAGAAACGCTTGCCTTTCATCTGATAGGGCTGCGGTGGGGCTGTGGATTACCTGTCAGGTTTGACGTTTGTAACGCCACATGCAAACCTCTTCTCCCAGGAGCGACAGAGGGTGGCCAAATGTTACATTTGAGCCCAAAGAAAATCCAGCACTGGTTGCAATATAGTCATGTTTCATTCGTCATAATAGATACGGAATTTAGCAGAACGTCATGGCCAGGTATTCACCACAGTTAAGCCTGCCGAAGAGTATGTCTTCCCCCTGAGTTTATTAAGCAATAAAAAAAATATATCAAAGATGTTAATTCTCCACAAGGCCTTCTGAGGGGCTCTAGGACTCACATCTGCAGGTCTCCATCTGAATGGGTTTGGGGCAGTGTGAACCGAATTGCTTCCAGAAGGTTGCCTGATTACCTCTCTGTTCTCTTGGGACCATAGTTTTACAATATGGCAGAAATTTTGGAAACACGAGAATTGAGATGGACTCTGCTAAAAGCCCAGACTTCCATGCTGTTCAAATGAGTGAAGCACAAGGTGATCTAAAATGTTATCTGAGAAACACCTGGCAGAAAGTATGTTTTTACACAAACAATCGTTTAAAAATACCCCTTACCCAGCTGCTGTGGGACTGTTGTTGTCTTCATGATCCTTCTATAAGGGGTGGTTTGAGATCAATCAGATTCTCTCCTGTGGGAATCTGACCTGAGACACACAAGTCATGCATTAAGTCACGTTCATGGTTAAGAGCTGGGATCAGGGACCATGAGCTCGTCTTCTGCAGCTGCCCAAGCCTGGTTTAATTCTCTCTTCATTTCTCTAAGGCACACCACCACCTTCCTCTCTTTAATTTTTTGCTTAAGTTAGTTTGAACTTGGTTTCAGTTGTTTGCATCCAGAAGGACCTTGAGTTAAATAATTATAAGAAGGCATCTTCTCATTACAATGAGGGGGGAACCATTTTTTTCCCCCCTCAGAAAGTTTGTCAGTAACAGGAACAACCCAGCCTCAACCATCAAAGGATTTCATCAAGATTTCAGTTCCAATTTGAAGAAGTCATGATTTGAACGAAAAGATGGCCTATTTGGTAGGCAAATGGTCAATTTCCATTACTTAGTGACTTCCAGTACTTGGTGACACCAAATGCCACCACAGTCCAAGGTACTGCGGAAAACCAATTCTTCTGCTAAATTCTGATTACAGAAACAAAGTGGGGGGAAGGAAGGGGTCCACTGGGCCTCATGGACCATCTGTGAAGATAGCCGCTTGCGGTAAGCCGCTTCCTGTAAGCAGGAAGGCCAACAGATCCACAGATTACACTCGGGAAGTATTTTGAAAATTAAACCCAAAGTCATGTTGAGGACTAGAATACTAGGTGCAGTTATAGCTCCTCACTTCAGGCAAGTCAGTATGGGGTGAAAAGACTAATAAATGAGGGAAGGTAAGGGAGTTCATAAAATCAGAAACAATCATGATTGTGTGTCCCCGATTTTAAGGTTCTAGACCTAGGGGGTAATCTCTTGAAGCCTGGAAGAGATTGTTTGCAGGCAGCTAGAAGGAAGTCCTACTTTTTATGTTGTAGGGAGTAAACTCATGGAATGCACAACCCCAAGAGCTAGTACCCTCCAAAATCAAGAGGAAGTAGTGGAAAATAGATGTATACAGGTAATAGCCCCTTCCAATATACAGACATATAGACAGACACTTGCATGCTCACACTCACACACACACACACACACACACACACACACACACACACACACTGCACTGAGTAGAATGCACCATTGGTTTAGCCCAGAATAACATTGCTTGTTCCCACTGTAAATTAATGTTGGTGTTTCCCTGCACAGGGAAACAGGAATGTTTAGGAGAGTACTTTCTTAATAAATATTGTTGAAAGGGGCGGGCAGTGGCTCAACTGGTTAGAGCTCATGCTCTGAGCAACAGGGTTGCCAGTTCGATTCCCACATGGGCCAGTGGGCTACGTCCCCTGCAACTAAATTGAAAATAGCGACTGGACTTGGAGCTCAGCTGCGCCCTCCATTGAAGGATAACAACTTGACTTGGAGCTGATGCCTGGAAAAAATACATTGTTCCCCAATAAAGTTTTAAAATAAATAAATAAACAAATAAATATCATTGATTATCAAGGAGTATGACAGTACTCTCATTTTATAGGAATATCACTGAAGGTGATTTAATGTTTAAAATAGTATACCATTACAAATAATTACAATAATAATCCAGTTCACCACTGACAATTTAAAAAGGAGCAGTCCAGAAAGGAACAGGAAAATCACCTTTAACCCGACCACCCAGGTAGAAGCCATGTTATGGCCTTGGTTTGTGGTCTTGTCTGTCGTTCCATGCTTATATGCACAGATGCACAGGTTTTAAATGAGAATTGAGATCATATTCTGTTTCAAAACTATTTTTCACTTAACGTGATCTATTTTTTTCTCGTGTCTTCCATTGTTTTTGCACAACAGGGGTTCTTTACCTCACCACGCAGCCGACCCCACGCTCGTTGTACCGAACCACCCTGGCCTCATCTCTGTTCCTCGTTGTAGTGAGTTGAATTGGTGTGAAAAGTTACTTCTCACGAGGTTCCCCGTCATGAGTAGGACTGGACATGGAAAGGCAGGTCCACCTGCCAGGATCTCAGAATGTGGCTTTCTTTGGAGCCAGGATCTTTGTAGATGTAATGAAGGTAAGGATCGCAAGGTAAGGCCACCCCGGATGACGGTAGACCCTAAATCTAGTGCCAAGTGTCCTTCCTTATATGAGACGGAAAAGGAGATGACAGACACTGGAATGATGCATTTTCTGGCCAAGAAATGCCATGAATTGCCAACAGCTACCAGAGACTGGGGGAGAGGCATGGAAGAAATCCTCTCTCAGGATAATTGTAACTGTGATACTAAATCTTCTATTTTGAGATTGGGACCTCTGGTATAATTCAATTTAACAACTGTAATTTAATTTGGGACTTTTTGAAAGCTTTTCTTTCTTTTCTTTGCCACCTTCTCACGAAACCTGAATGACTCTGTTCACTATACATTTACTATGCATCCCAGTGTCAATGATTCTCTTTACTTGAGCCTTGCATGCCTGGCCCTGTGACTTGGGAGAGGTTTTTGCATCTATATGGGATCCACTCATGGCTTGACTTAAATTTACATAACATATGCAAAGGTTGATAACCAGTTTAACCACACCTTCCCCCACCCCACTGGACAAAGCTGAACTCAACAGAAGATCCCAAAACAGGCCGAAGCAATTTACACCCTGGTTAGAAAACATAAGATGTCAGATGAAACAAAGACTTCTGAGGCAGCAGTCACCAGCAGACTCTGCCCAGCAGACCCTCCTCTTACTTCAATAAATCTTCCTTCTGTATGTCTGCCTGCCTGCTGAATTCTTTCGCAACCCGCAAGTGAGCAGCCACAACACCTCAGAGCCTCTAGAAGGAACCGCCCCTGCTGACACCTTGATTTGGACTTCTGGCCTCCAGAGCTGAGACAGAATATAGTTTTGCTGTTTTAAGCTGCCAAGTCTGTGATACTTTGTCAAGGCAGCCCTAGGAAACAAATAGGCTCACACACACACCAAACTCATGCTCACCTCAGGGCCTTTGCACTTACCATTCCCTCTGCCAGGGATGCTCTGCCCCTGGATTTTTGCATTATTGGCTTTGTCTAGTCATTCATGGCTCACCTCAAGGTCACTTCCTCATAGAGACTGTCCCAATAATCCCAGCCCCATCCCTTTTTTAGCCTGTCTCCCTACTTTGCTGTCTTCCTAATACTCAGCTACCTCAAGTTCCCTTTCTATACTCCGCTGTCTGCTTCCTCCCCTTGAATGTGAGTTCTTTGAGAAAAGGGGCTTGGACACCTTGTTCCTTGTTCTGTTTCCACCAACCACCCCCAGAGCAATTCACAAAAGCTGACAGAATGCTAGAACAAATGAACGAATGTCAGTCGCTGGTTCCCAATAGATTGGAATTTCACAGCCGGACTCCCGCTGACTCAACGCATCAGAGGTTGCGGAATCCCTCCTTTCCTCTGAGCTCATCTCTGCTTCCTCTTCCTTTGAAGTCAGTGATTTCTGCTTTTACCTTTCTACCTCTAGGAATTGATTGGAGAGCCAGGTAAAAAAAAGTGCTCTGAAAACATGTAAGAAATTCAAGAACTGTCTACTCTCCTTCACTGACTGCCATTCAACTGGGACTGGGAATCTGAATATCTGCATTTCTCATCTGTGTCCAAGTCAGAATGTCAAAGCAAGCCTCGTCTTGCTCAAGAGTCAAGGAGTGACAGCAGCTGGAAATGAAAGCATAACAGAAACTTGGACCGATCACAGCCTCAAACCAGTACATCTCCTTTCCACCCCAGAGCTGGGAACTGAAACTATTCCATAGGAAGTCCTTTCTTCCCACCTCTATGCAAAAATCCACATCGAACCTGATTCCTTTTTAAATACCCAAATAGTCACAGCAACATTCACTGAACTCGAAATAAAAAGGGCAAGTGCTCTTGTAACCCTGTCTGTAATTACCCTTCTGAATTAATTGTTTTGTTTATCCCATGCCCTGTCCCATCCTGGCCCCAATGCATGTGGCATTTTTACTTAACTGTCTCGCCAGGCGGCTCAGCGTCCACGTTGTTTCTTACTTGACAGTAGACGGCGTTTGTCTACCAGGACACAGTTCACAACCCATAAAGGTCTCTGCTTAAGTAAGAAGGCCAGTTCCGTGAACCGTCACCCAAACATATGCAACACCAGGCTGTGTGTCTCATATCAAAGTTTATTGAAGTGGTAGTTTTCTTATTAAGTACAGAAACACAGGCAAATGAACCGGGAGGAAGCCTCCCCCTCTAACCACTGGGCAGCATTTCCTTTTAATGATAAAAGCAAACAGAGGTGGGAAGACACTCTTTTCCCTGAAGCCTTTTTAACTGCTCAACCGTCAAAATTAGCGTCAACAAGAGAGGAATGGATTAGTTGCAGGTTGGGGCACAAATGCCATTACCTTTTGCTTAGCAACACTGCTTGCTTGGCCCAGTACCTCTTGGGGCTGATTCCCTTCTTACCACCACTGGAAACGCGGCCATTCACCAAAGGTCATGAGTCTCTTTGTCTCGTCCGTTTCTGCTAAAGCTTGGCTAAAAGATGCAGCAATCCCACGAAACCCAGGAGATCTACTGGCTGGTATAACGATGCCTGGGCTGCCTCCAGTAAATAGTAACTCCCCTCCAGTCACTTAGCTCTGCTTTTCCCAGCTGGAGCCACGAACAGGGAAGGCATGACTCCGGGAGCTAAGAACCATCCAAGGCTCAGGCAGGTGAAGGAAAGAGGCCCATGAATCACAGGTGCCGCACGATGGAGATCTCTGGCTCCAGCTCCGCTTGGCAGAAACACGGATGGTTTTTGCCATCTTCACTTCTGCAAGTGTCTGAGATGGAGCAAAAGTTTCAGATGCATAGGAACTTTAGTCTCCATTCCTCCAAGATTTCCATGGTGACACTCTGCAACCAAGCGGCCCGCTCTGCCACACCGCTTCTCTAAATTGGATTCTCGGAACCTGGAAGTTCCAGGAAACCTCAGGCCGAGTCTAGTGATGTTATTGTGTGCTCCAGCCCAACTGTTTCCCCGGAGATCTCGGATCTCAGTGACAATCGCCCTTCTCGGCATGGTTATTTAACGAGAGGCTGGAGTCAAATAAGGGGGGCTCCGTGGCTCCCTGGGGTTGGCCATTAAAGCCTCTGGAATACTCCTGGTAGCATTCAGATCCCCCGTGAGCTCCATGCTTGTGCTCCGGTTATTATCTGGCTCCTCCAGAGTCTTCTTCCGGATGCAGCGGCTGATCAAGCTGGAGAAGAAGTTGGGGAAAGATGGGCTGGAGAAGTAGTACACCAACGGGTCCAGCATGCTGTTCATGTAGGTGAAGCTGAGGGTGATGAAAAACGCCAGGTCGACCGAGCGATAGATGTCACAGTTCATCGTCCCCGTTGTGTGCAGGAGCCAGAAAATGCGTATGCGCACGGCCACGCTGGGCAGGAAGCTGATGACAAAGACCACGGCCACCACCATGATGAAGTTGATGGCCCTCTTGATCTTGGCATGCCTGTCCATTTGCCTCTGCCGCAGGCTCCAGATGATCCTGACCGAGCAGAACAGGATGATGCCCAGGGGCAGGAAGAACTCCAGGAGGAACATGGCGTCGTGCCACCTGAAGGTCTGGCAGATGCTGAAGCTGCTGCACAAATTCGCGTCACGGTTCTTGATCAGCATCTTGTTGTACAGGAGGTGAGTGGTCAGGCCGATGGTAAGGACCCACAGGAGGCAGGAGACGATGGCCGCCGTCCGGTTGGAGATCTTGTTCAGAGCGTGGTGGGGGTGGACCACCCGGAAATACCTGTCCACGGCCACCACGGTGAGGAAGATGATGCTGCCTTGGCGATTCATGGCCAGCATGAACAGCATCAGCCGGCAAGGGATGTCCCCGAACTTCCAGTCCCACTTCCTCACGTAGTTGTCCGTCAGGAAGGGCAGGCAGATGATCAGGAGAAAGTCAGCCACGGCCAAGTTGAACAGGAAAATCCGGCTGGATTTCCAGGACTTGAGGTGAAAGCAGAAAATCCACAGGGCAAGGCCATTGCCCAGGAGCCCAAACACAAACTCCAGCACCAGCACCGGCGGCAGGACATTGGCAATGAAGTTGTCCCTGAACACACAGCAGTTCTTGTTGTGGATCTCCAGAAAATGCGTCTGCTGCTGGTACGGGTTCATGAGTGGATCGAGTGGGGCCCCAGGAGAGCCTCACCTAAGTGAATGCTCAAGGAAAGAGGTGTGTGTCTGTGTGGCGAACGTGGTTCAGTGTCCGCCTTTATGTCATGTCAGGGTGTTGAAACAGATGACTGAATGGTTACCAGGAAACTACGAAATCGCCAAAAAAAAAAAAAAAAGGCAGCGAGGCTCTTATGCAACCTGCTGTTTGCATAAACAAGTAATAAAAATCCCCTGGCCAGACAGGAACCCACACAATTCTCTAAAGGTAAAGGATAAGTTTAGGCAAGCCGACTGTCATCTGTGAATTACTAAAAGGTGGAGGGCATCCCACGTACTCCGTGTCGGAAAATTAATTCGCTGTCATGTGGTTGGCTGACATCATGAGCAAAACAGCAGCAGCAATAAATAAATAGCTTCCTGTGCTACATGGCACGGCTGTCCAGAAACGTGAAGGATGAGTAGGAAATATTAGCATGCATTTGATCTAGGAAACAGCAAGCATGTTATTTCTTTTGGAAAAGGCCGAGAAGACAGTAATTGTCTATTTTATGAGGACAGTCTGTTGCATTTGATGTTCCCATGCCATCTTCTCTGTACAAACATGGCTTGCTTTTTCCACACCAGAACTCTGCAATTAATCTCTAGTTAGGGAAAGAAAGGGGAAAAAAAAAAAAGCGGCTTGAGAGCAGATTAAAATTTCATAAGATGTCTGAAAACTTGAACCTAGTTTGCATTGCCAGTGGTATGTTACAATAAGTTGGGGCTTTTGTTTGTTTGTGTTAGATGTTGATATGCTTCCATGCTCAAGTGACTTATATTTAAATACGTGATTTTAAAAAAATGAAGAAGCCTTATTTTTTAGAGCAGTTTTAGATTTACAGCCAAATTGAGCAGAAAGTGCAGAGATTGCCTGTACACTCCCTGTCCCCTCCACCACACACACACACACACACACACACACAGACTCCCTCACTAAGCATGTGATATTTTAAAAGCCCCCATTTTTGGAAAATTAAATTTAGAATAGAGGACCTAAGAGGACTTTGAACTCTGCATCCCAGTAGGTCACCATTTCACACATCATTCTTTTGCTTTCCAGGATAATTGGGTATAATCCTACAGAACAGTTCTACCCTGTGATATTTAGGTGTGTTGAATTCTTGCTTTGCTAGAGGTTTCCAGATTGTGTTGCTTCTACTTTGAGTTAGAAATAGGAAATTTGTTTCTTTGGTTGCATACCCAGGTTCAATACTAGAGGTTTGTAGACTCTTGACGGTAAATTAGTCAGGATGATCGAATATTAGACTCCCATGGGAACCAGACATACTTGATGATGATGAAGAAGATGATGAAGATAATCTTGGCACCTATGTCACAGGGAGTTTCCGGTGTGTCAGACCCCACACTCAGTGCTTTAAGTACATTATCTTCTTCTACCCTGGCTGCGGCCCATGAGGTAGGGATTATGAGTGATTCAGATTTCAAAATGAGGAAAGTGAAGCTCAGAGACGTTGGTCATATATTCAAGGCTACCAAGCTAATAAGAGCAGAGCTTGAGTGTGGATCTGGCACAGGCTTCAAAGTCTGCGTCGCTAACCATCACACACACTGCCTCTTAGGATGTGACTGCCTCGTCTATAAGGCCGCGCTAGATTGAGGTCACATTATGTGGGTGTTTCAAGGCTCTAGTGAAATGACAGGTACTTGTTTTGGGTCCCTGCTGCTCGTGAATATCATGCTTCCTTCTGGGATGAATGTGGACTTGTCAATGATCTTCATAAAATAATCCTAAGGGCCTATTAACGAAAAGTCAGAAAAACCGATTATTAACTAGAGCTTTTTCTGGAAGCTAAAATTGGCCAGGGACTCTCCCTTTCTAAATTTTACAATATTTGGTTGCTTTTTTAACAATAGTCCTGGACAACAATAGAAAAGCAGAACGATAAATATAGTAACATTTGAAAAAAGAGGAAAAACTAGAGAGGCTGGATGCTTGTTCTCACTCCGTGAAACCTCTTAACCCCTCAATTTCCTCATGTGTAAATTGAGGAATTAGATGCTCTTCAAGCTTCCTTCAAGCTCTCCCCTGCTATGATTCTAAACCAAAGTTCACGTCCACTCAGGCAGAGTATAAATTCTGGCCTCCCCCCCCCTCCAGATTCTGGTGTCTGCTATGGGATTTCCCGTCTCCCCATTCCACCGTGAGCGTGTTTTGTCGTGTGTGTCCCTCCTCTATGTATTTATTGTTTTTCTTACTAGTGCATGAGCTGTACAGAAACTTGTTATAATGAATCATTTCAATGGCTAAGGCAGTGATCCCACTGAGTTTTGTGGAAACTCCACTTAAAATCTATGACTTACACAATTAACTTGAACCTCCATGCTTACATATCTTATTACAGCTTGAATGTGTGCCACTGAACTAGATGGAACCATTTTTTTTTATTAAAAATAATAGTAGCTACCATACATCAATAGTTTGCTTTGTGCCAGGCACTGACCTCATTTAATTCTCACAAAAACACTGTGAGTGATGTGCTAATATGATCCTCATCTCCTTTTACAGATTAGAAAACTGAGGCTGGGGCCGCCAAGTGGCTCAGTTGGTTAAGAGCATGAGCTCTGAGCATCAGGGTCACCGGTTCGATTCCCACATGGGCCAGTGAGCTGCACCTGAGCTGAGCTGCTGCTGAGCTGTCAACAGTTGGCAAGATGGCTCAGCTGGTGAGAGCACGTGCTCCTAACAACAAGATTGACAGTTCAACCCCGCATGATGGGGGCTACGTCCACCTGCAATTAAGATTGAACACGGCACCTTGAGCTGAGCTGCCCTGAGCTGCTGATGGGCGGCCAGATTGCTCAGTGGTTAGAGCATGCACTCTTAGCAACAAGGTTTCCAGTTCAACTCCCACATGGGATGGTGGACTACGCCTACCTGCAGCTAATATTGAACACGGCACCTTGAGCTGAGTGTCAGGGAGCTGCCAATGGGCGGTCGGATGGCGACTAGACTTAGAGCTGAGCCAGCTGTGCCCTCCACGACTAAGATTGAAGAACAACAACTTGGCTGTTCCCCTTCCCCAATTCCCCAACACTGTTCCTCTTCCCCAATTCCCCATTAAAATCTTTTTAAAAACCCCAAAAAACCTAAGGGCAAACCAAAATAACCAAATAATCTTGAAAAAGAAGAACAAAGTTTAAAAACTCACACTTCCCGATTTAAAAACTTACTACAGGGGGCAGGCCAAGTGGCTCAGTTGGTTAGGAGTTGGCTTGGGACGCCAGCTCTGAGCAGCAGGGCCCCGGTTCGGATCCCACATGGGGGCCACTGATGCTGTGCCCTCTACAGCTAAGATGGTGAACAACAGCTCGATCTGGAGCTGGGCTGTGGTGAGTCACCAGTGTAGGCTGCAGTGGGGCTGCAATGGGCTGCCGTGAGCTACCATGAGTGGCCAGCAGCTGGTGAGAGCTGCCGTGAGCCTCCATCCAATGGCCGGCGACCGACTGCTTCAGTTGGGAAGGGCGCAATGATAATACCAACATAGGCCAGTGAAGTGACGTCCTCCACAACTAGACTGAAGAACCAAAGGACAGCAGCTTGTCTGTTCCCCTTCCCCGATTCCCCAGCACTGTTCCCCTCCCCCAATTCCCCAATAAAATCTTTAAAAAAAAAAAGCTTACTGCAAAGCTGCTGTAACAAGACAGTGTGGTCCTGGCACAGGGTTGACTATAGAATAATACAGTAGGACTGAGAGTCCAGAAATAACCCCTTGCACTTACAGTCAGCTGGTATCTAAAAGGGTTGCTAAGACAAATCCATGGGGACAGAATAGTCTTTTTTGGGGGAACAGTGTGTTTTTCCAGGACCCATCAGCTCCAAGTCGTTGTCCTTCGATCTAGTTGTAGAAGGCGCAGCTCAGCTCCAAGTCCAGTCCCATTTTCAATTTAGTTGCGGGGGGCACAGTCCACCATCCCATAGTGGGAATCGAACCGGCAACCTTGTTATTCAGAGCACACGCTCTAACCAACTGAGCCACCCGGCCACCTCCAGAATAGTCTTTTTCCTAAATGCTGCTGGGACAACCAGAGGACCACATGCAAAAGAATGAGGTAGGGACCCTTCCTTACACTGTACATAAAAATTAACTCAAACTAAATCACAGACTTAAATGTAAGACACAAAATTCTTAGAAGAAAACCTAAGAGTAAGTAAGTCTTCATGACCTCGGCCTAGGCAAAGCTTTCACGGGCACACCACCAAATACGCACACAACAACAAAAATTGTCAGTTAAATGGAGTCAAGTTGTTTTTGTTTATTTTTATTTTTTTACAAAAAGAAATGCTGATTAAACAAACAAAACAAATAGGAGCCTGTTGGCAGGAGCGTGGAAGGAGGCTTGTCATCCACTGTGGGTGGGAGTCTAAGTTGGTTCGGCCTTTTTTGCTGGGCAATGTGATGGTATCTATAAAGATTATAATAAGAGCTAATACAAGATAATAAATAATAAGAGCTAATAGAAATAGTGCTTACTGTATGGTGGGCACTATTATAGGCGCCTCATACATCTAAACTCAGTACTCACAACCACCTTTAGGGCAGGCACTGTGCTTGTCCCCATTTTACAGACAGGGAAAGGAAAGCATTGAGAGGCTATGTAACTTGCCTGAGGTCACACAGCTAGTAAGTAAAGGAAATAGGATTGAAACCCAGACGGCCTGGCTCCAGGGCTGTGCTGTCAGCCACTGAGCATGCTGCCTCCTACTATGCCTGTCCTTTGACCCAACAATTCCCGTCTAAGAATCTAGCTCCCCAAAACTATGGCACATGTGTCCGAAGATATATCATTCAGAATATTCACCATAGCATGGTGGCAATAGAGGGCAATTGGAAATAACTTACACGTCCATTACAAGGCCATTAGTTAAATAAACCATATGTGGTTTGTTTGTACAATGATACATAGTTAAAAACAATGAGCTTGATCTCTGTTCTTTTTTTTTAAAGATTTTTTTTAAATTGGGGAATTAGGGGAAGGGGAACAGACAAGTTGCTGTCCTTTTGTTCTTCAGTCTTGTGAACGTTGCTTCACTGGCCCAAGTTGGCACCATCATTGCACTCTTCCCGGGTGAGGCAGATCAGTCGCCAGCTTCTGCACGGCCGCTCACAGCGGCTGCTGGCTACACACGGTAGCCCATGGCAGCCCACTGCAGCAGAGGCTGCAGCCTACGCCATTGCCGGCGACTCACAGCAGCCCAGCTCCAGGTTGAGCTGTTGTTCAGCATCTTAGCTGTGGAGGGCAGTGTCACTGGCCCTCATATGTGGGATCCCGAACCGGGGCCCTCTGGCGTCCCAAGCCAGTTCTTAACCGTCACGCCACTCGGCCGGCCCTTGATCTCTGTTCTGATGTAGGGAGCTATCCATGATAAAAAATACCTTGTACAACTATATATATATATATATATATATATATATATATATATATATATATATATATGTGAATCTTTACCATATATACATGTATGTGTATATCCTGCTTTAGCAAAACCAAACCAAAGATTCATTATTTGTGTGCAAGTGTGTCTATACCCCAAATGTTAAAAGTCATCACTTCTAGAGGGCGGCCAGTTAGCTCAGGTGGTTAGAGCACAGTGCGCATAACACCAAGGTTGCCGGTTCGATCCCCACATGGGCCCTCCACAGCTAGATTGAAACAACTAGTAGACTTGGAGTGGATGGGTCCTGGAAAAACACACTGTTCCCCAATAAAAAGTTTTTAAAAAGTCATCGCTCCTAGGAAATGAGATTAAGAGGAATGAAAGGAAGACGTTTACTTTTTTTTTTTGGACATTTACTTCTTTATAGATTTGTGTGTTCTTTGAATTCTGAACAAAAACATATATATGCCTTCTGTAATTGAAGAAGTTTAATTCTTTTTGTAAAAGATGGGAATCTGAAAGGCTAGTCACCAGTCTTCTGTCCAGAAGGGTTGTAACGACCCTCCTCTCCCCAGATGTCATGGCCTCACGTCTGACCAGGCTGTCACAACACAGCCTGGGCTTTTCATCCCTGTCTCATTGATTCCTGCAGTTCCTACTCTGCTGTCACCTCCCTCCTCTAACTGGGACACCTTTACCCCACTGACTCACCTGGTTTGCCCCCTGTCCATCCTTCAGGGCTAAGTTCAGGAGTTACTTCCTCCGAAAAGCCTCCTCCGACCCCTAAACCAGGATTAAGGGCCCTGAGTTCGCCTGTAGAACCCTATGTTGACCATTGTCAAGGCAGTTACCCGGAATGGTAATTTCACTTTTCCCTTGGTTTCTGCAAGCGGGTGGTCAGGGGCTATGTTTTTCATTGTGGCTCCACTCTGTCCAGTACTGAGCTGGTGCCTAATAAATGTTCCTTGAAAGCGGGAGTGGATGAATGCATGAATCTTCACAAGGAATTAACTATTGACGCCTCCCCATTCTCATGTGGCATCGCTGGAAGCGCAATATAGATGAGGCCCATATGTGAGCCTGTGTGTTTCTTCCATGGTCCCAGCTTCGTGGATGAACTCAGAGGGTCCTGTGTTTAGTTTAATGCTCTGCTGTCATCACCTTAAAATTCTCTTTTTTTTTTTTAACTTTTTTTTTATTGGGGAGTTGGGGAAGGGCAAACAGCCAAGTTGTTGTCCTTCGATCTTACTTGTGGAGGGCACAGCTAGCTCAGCTCCAAGTCCAGTCGCCATCCACCCGCCTGTCGGCAGCTTGCGTCTGCTCAGCTCAAGGTGCCCTGTTCAATCTTAGTTGTGGGTGGGCGTAGCCCACTATCACATGCAGAAGTTGAACTGGCAACCTTGTTGTTAGGAGCACGTGGTCTCACCAGCTGAACCCCTGTTGGCAGCTCAGTGACAGCTCAGCTTGGGCACAGCTCACTGGTCCATGTGGGAATCGAACCGGTGACCCTGGTTGCTCAGAGCTCACACTTTTAACCAATTGAGCCACTTGGCTGGCCCTACTGCCTTGAAATTCTTAATACTTTTTGAGCAAGGGACCTTGCATTTTCCTTTTGCACTGGGCTCTGCAAATTACGGAGCTGGTCCCAAGCTATTTATGCACTCACTGTGGTGATGGGGTCTTGAGTCATGCTGCTAGATTAGAAGTGGATTTGAGTCTGGGGATTAGAAGATTCAGAAGGCAAGCAAGTTGAGACCAGGCATGACACTGTGGCCAGGTGCCCACCTTGCTGAAGAAATGTAAACAATTGGCTTAACCCCTTGTGCCCCAGAGCTCTAATCCCATCTAAGCAGCCCCTACAGTCGGGTGAGTTCACACCCCATGGTGACCATTTCACTTTTAATTAAGGGTAAGGAAACCCACTCTGAGACTAGACCGGAACTACAATTTTTACACTGTCAGCACCAATAAAAGGTACCTCTTATTTTTTTCCATGTAATTCCTGTAGAATATATGGCCTCATATCCCTTCTACAATAGCTTTTAGGTGACTTCCTGAAAGACCCTGAATAAGGGAGAGAACATTTTCTTCTAAATCGATTACACTTTGCCATTCCAGTAAGTTTAAACAAAGCTTTGTCAACCAAACTACACTCTTCCTTTCTGAAGAATCATTTCTGAAGAATACTTCTTGATAAGATTACTTTTTCTATGAATTTCTAAATTCTAAGATTTTTAAGTTCCATGAATTTAAAAAGGGAAGCAAAATTAGAATCAAGATGGTGTTTCGGGTTTTGTTTGATTTTCCTTTCATTTTGTTTGTTCTTGCTGGTTTTTAGTGAGAACTGCTGCCTACCATGAGCTTCTGGATTTTTTTAGACTTTTTTTTTTCTTGGAAGGGAAAGTCTTCTGAGTCATTTCACATCGGGTCACACATCGGACAAGGAACTTGATTTAGGAACCCATGTTTATTAAGATGGAACAACAAAGGAGCAGCCCAGGAAAGAATTAAAAACAGAAGTGTGGGTTCTTACAGGTTTCTCACAGGATGATATATGCTGTTTTGATGCTGATAAGAATCCTGGCCTTCCCTCCTCCCCGGGCAGCTGGGGAGCAGAATTCCGGTAGTGACTGTGGAGCCGCTGGGAACCCCGAGGGAAATTGCTTCTGTGCCTCAGCGTGTTAACATAGAAAGCTATAATATGGAGTACTTACTGCCAGACACTGAGTTTAATGCTGTTCATGCACTCATTCAAGTATCTACTAAGCACCTACTATGTGCAGGCACTGGGCATATGACAGTGAGCAAAGCCCCCAAACTTCTGGACCTTGGAGTCCTTGAATCAGCCCAGGATTTGAAGTCAATACTATTGTTACCCTTGTTTGACAGATGAGGAAATTAAAGCTAAAAGTGGTTAAATACAATCAGCTTCCAGATCCCGCGTCTAGTAGGTGGCTGAGTTGGGATTCATTCTTAGATTCGTCTGACTTCCCCACACCTCGTGCTTTTCACCACTAGGCGGTGCAGTGCCTATGAAAAGGGAGCTAGGAAGGAATGAGGGGAGTTTCGAGGCCAAAGAACCAAAAGCTGGTGGAGTCCTTAAGTGCAGAGAAGACCCTGGGAATTTGAGAAAGGGTAAATAGAGGTGCCAAGCATGACTCGCCCTTTTGAGACTTGAGAACTGAGTGAAGGCTGGCTTAGACTCCTTCCTCATCCAGCGCAGGGCAGCCTGTCATTTCATAGAATCATCGGGTTTGGAGGTTTCCAGGTACATATGTGAGAGATTCATGCGTATAAGGGGCACTTACTTTTTTCCAGAAGAGGTGTTTGCAGAAACTGGTCTAGGAACTATATGTGTGGAAAAAGGTGAAGGTTAACTAACCTCTCTGTTTGCCTCCCCCCCCAAAAAAAAAAAAAACTTTGCTGTCATGCAAGAGTTGACTAACAAGCTTCCAGGTAAAAGGGACATGGTACAGTGCCTGGCACAGAATATCAATTCAGTAAATACGTGGAGAATGAATGATTTCAGCTCATGAATAAGTTCAACATAGCAAGCAGGTGAAAACAGCCTGGACTCCGCACTTTCCAAAGACCAGGGGACTTTTTTCAAGCACTCAGCTCCCACTGGAAAAATCAGGGCAGGTAAACATATCCCCTCAGCATGTTCTCTGAAATGCCAAGACTTGCAGAAAAATGTGGAGCCCAAACAAGGTCAGAGCACATTGTTTTGCTGTCGTTCTTGGGCTACTGAGAAGTCAAGAAATGAACAGAGCCCCCGCCCCCCCTCACCCCCGCTGATGAAAATCATGGGAATCAAGACATTCCAAGCTACAGAGCCTCACTCAGCCTGAAATAATAGTATTGACTTAGTCCGGTTTCTATTTTCCAAGGCAAGTAATGATTTAAGGTGGGAGGATAGGAAATACTGATAAAGTCATTAAGTTCACTAACTCCCCCCAAGGGGAGGACCGGACCGTTTAAACACGTGTACCTATTTACCCAGCTGTTTAAAATTACACAGGAGCTGAGCTCTTCCTAGTCCCGCCCCCTGCCCCCCGCCCGTCACACACATGCCCCTTGTGCCCTTATCCTTGTAATAAGATCGTATAAATGCAACCGACTCACTTCTCAACTGGGACCTTCCAAGAAGGCATAGTAGCCTGAGCTTTTTTTTTCCAACACAGTGAGGGGGATATAGTTGAGAAAGGGCAGCATTTTCAAACCCCTCAGCAGAAATTATTTCTAAGTTGCCAGCCTGTCCTCGATTTTGTCTCTCTGTCTGTTTCAGTGCTGGTTCAACACACGTGGAGACCCCGCGGCACATCCAATTGGCTTTGCAAGCTATTTGCAAGCCACACTGGTGCAGCTCTTGCGACAGAGGTTTGAAATTGGCGTCTCCTCCGGCCTCTGTGTCTTGGAGCGTCCCAGCCGCTTGGGTTTCAAACTCCGGATTTTGAGTTTGGTGTAGAATTTTGGGAACGAGGGACTTGAAAAATAATACACCAGGGGATCCAGCATGCTGTTCATGTAGGTGAAGCTGAGGGTGACATGGAGGGCAACGTGGACGGAGGGGTTGCAGGCGCTCGAGGGCACCGTCCAGAGGAAATACAGCCTGGCCGACACACTGGGCAGGTAGCACGTGACAAACACGCCCGTCACCACCATGATGAAACGGATAGCCTTCTTCATCCGAGTCTGCCTGGCCAGCTGCTGCCTCTGCTTCAGGCTCCAAATAATCTTGAAGGAGCAAAACAAGATGATACCGAGAGGCAGGAAGAACTCCAGCTGGAACATGATGTCATGCCAGCCGTTGGCCGACTCCATGATGAAGCTCTCACAGGATATGGTCTTCTCTTGCACACACAGGTGGTTCTCCATCAAAAGATACAGGGTTCCCAGGATGACCATGGTCCAAAGGGCACAGGCGATGCCAGCTGCAGTCCGGTTGGAGATGGTGTTCAGCATGTGGTGGGGATGGACCACTTTGAAATACCTGTCCACGGCCACCACCGTGAGGAAGACGATGCTCCCAGCCCTGTTCATGGCCAGCATGAACAGCGCTACCCGACAAGGAATGTCCTCAAAGACCCATCGTCTATCTCTGCGGTAATAGTCTGTCCGAAAGGGCAGGCAGATCATGAGAAGGAAGTCGGCCACGGCCAAGTTGAAAAGGTAAATAGTGCTGGGCTTCCAGGTCTTCATATGGAAGCAGAAACCACACAAGGCGATGCCATTGCCCAGGGCACCAAGCACGAAAGCCAGGATCAGCAGCGGAGGCATCACCCGGGAGATGGGGTCCCCCTCGATGAGGCAACACGACCCGTTGTCCATGGTGGACAGATGACAAATGCTCCCTGCGCCCGGCAGGCCCTGGAGTCCCCACAAAGACAGAGATGCTTATCTGAAGGCTGCCACTCACCCAGCTGCTGTTTTTCTAACTTCTTCACTCTGGGATGTAGGTACCCACCGCACATGTGGGTGGATACAGCCACCAAAACCGAGAACAGAAACTTGAGCCAGGAAACGAGAACTGCAGGGAAGTCCTTTCTCCAGAGCCTGGGTCACAAGCCGCCTGTCTCCCCAGCAGCCTGTGCATGGAGCGCGGTAAGGCTTTGAAATGCATGTAATTTCGTGCAAGTGGTCATTGCTGGGAAGCGACCCACCGGTCCAATGAGATTCATGCTGGAGATGAGTTGCTGGGTCCAGCCCCAGAATGAGTTTTATTTCCAGCTTCACTCTTTCTCCTCAGACTCTCTCCATGCTGGAGAGCCGCAAAGCCGCCCAGAAGGCATGAAAAGCGTTTGTTTGTCCTCCCTCCCGGAGGAGAAACACAAACATTTCCTGCAGCCAATCTGGGCCTCTGCATTGCTTTCCTCCCTAACCTTTGCCTGACTGCCCGTCCTCTCCCTCATCCCATGGGGCACTCCCAGGCGGTGCCAGCGACCTGTGGCTCGGAGCCGTTTCCTGTGCCCACACCCAAAAAAAGCCTTCAAAAATCGGAAGGGTAGATAGAGAAAAAAAGCTGTAAAGACCACATTTGTTGGGTGTTAAAAAGTTCTTTAAAAGTGTGTCCGCCTTTGAAGTGTGTCTCCCCTCCATTCACACCTCCCACCCTTTGCCTCCTTCCGTGGACCCAAGTGACCAGTTGCACAACTAGCAAGAGCATGCCATGGATCTGAAGCAGTTTCTCATATGTATGTCTCCATGAAACAGCCTCTGTGGGAGCCAGTACCTCCCTCTGCTGTTTGCAAAAGAGGATTTGGCTCTGACCTTCCCACTGGCAGTTCAAAAGAGCCCAACACTGTGATCGTAGGTTTTTTTATTTTAATTATGTGCTGAGCCCATTGGTGGGGGCGCATGAGGGTTGGGGCAGTTGGTTAAGGAGCCTATCTCTAAGATAATCATGGGTAAAATTAGACTGCACCAAAGATCGGAGTCTGCTCAACTTTCGATCCTTCCACTGTAGAAGTGACCTATGCGCCCTGTGCCTTTCAGCTCCCAGCTTAGGCAAGGGGTGAGGAGAGAGTGCTTTGGAAGAATGCACGCCTTCTTCTGATGCTGATTAAAGCTGAATTCTTCCCTCTGAATCCTAGACTCCCAATTAGCCTGACAACACTCCCCACTCACTGCCCCCACCTTCACGAGGACCACTGTCACCTCCCAGCTGTTGAAACTGTTGGTTTCCTTTCCTCTAGTTCAGTGGTTCTCAACCTGTGGGGTGCAACCCCTTTGGGGGTCGAACGACCCTTTCACAGGGGTCGCCTAAGACCATAGGAAAACAAAAAGATATTTACATTACGATTCATAACAGTAGCAAAATTACAGTTATAGCGTAGCAATGAAAATAATTTTGTGGTTGGGGGTCACCACAAGATGAGGAACTGTATTAAGGGGTCGCGGAATTAGGAAGGGTGAGAACCACTGCTCTAGTTGATTCCCTGTAATTCCTCTCCCACACTACAAAGTGATTTTTTTCTGAAGTACAGATATGCTCATATCATTCTTTTCCCACTTAACAGCCATCGTTAGCTCCCTCTGCCAAGATGATAGCTATGGTGATAGCTATAGGGCCTGTGAGCCATATCTGGTTTGAAAACCAGTTTGATTTGGCCCACATGTTTAAAAAAACTAGGACTGTCCTATAAAAAACCCTGTATTTCCAGACTCTCTTGCGAAACTGGGAGATATGGCCACACTGGGCCAACAATCCCACATAGTAACAATAGGCTGGAGCTGAGAGTAACTGCCCCCTTGAGACAGTCCAAGAAGTCTCCATTTTGCCACAGTCCCCACCATTCCCTATTACTTGGTCAGTGTCACTCATTCATTCGTCTGATCTCTTGGATTTTGAGTTTGTCACCTCTGCCTTAGGTTAAAGGTTGCATTCTTTGGCTTTATAAGGGCTATACAAGGCCCTTTCACAGATGGTTCCCAAATTTTCTTTCCTGCCTCACTTTCTTCCTAACTTGTTAGTCTCATAACTTCTAATAAAAACGTGTGTCGGGCCGGCAGAGTGGCTCAGTTGGTTAAGAGCTCACTTAGGAGCACCAGCTCTGAGCAGCAGGGCCCCAGTTCAGATCCCACTTGAGGGCCAGTGACGCTGCACCCTCTACAGCTAAGATGGTGAACAACAGCTCAACCTGGAGCTGGGCTGCCATGAGTCGCCAGCGACAACGTAGGTTGCAGCCCCTGGTGCAGTGGGCTGCCATAAGCTACCGTGAGTGGCCGGCAGCCAGTGTGAGTGGCTTTGAGTGGCCGTCCAATGGCTGGCGACCAATCTGCCTCAGCCGGGAAGAGCGCAAAGATAATACCAACATGGGCCAGTGAAGCGACATCCTCCACAACTAGACTGAAGAACAAAACAGCAGTTGGTCTATCTATCTGTTCCCCTTCCCTGATTCCCCAACGCTGTTCCCTTCCCCCAATTCCCCAAAAAAATCTTAAAAACAAAAATGTGTGTCCACCCAACGTCTACGTTTAGCTCTCCCACTAATCCAAGAGGTCCTTGGAGACAAGTCCTTTTTTTTTTTTAATTTTTATTGAGGAATTGGGGGAGGGGAACAGACAAGTTGGTGTCATTTTGTTCTTCAGTCTAGTTGTGGAGGACGTTGCTTCACTGGACCATGTTGGTATTATCATTGCACTCTTCCCAGGTGAGGCAGTCGCTCACCGGCCTCTGGACAGCTGCTCACGGCGGCCCTTGGCAGCTCATACCAGCTGCTGGCTGCTCACGCTGGCTGCTGGCCACACACGGTAGCTTATGGCAGCCCACTGCAGCAGAGGCTGCAGCCTATGCCGTCGCCGGCGACTCACGGCAGCTCAGCTCCAGGTCGGGCTGTTGTTCACCATCTTAGCTATAGAGGGCAGTGTCACTGGCCCTCATGTGGGATCCGAACCGGGGTCCTGATGCTCAGAGCTGGCGTCCCAAGCCAGCTCTTAACCAATGCGCCACTCGGCTGACCCGACAAGTCCATTTTTTTGGCAGGAAGGGGATGGAATAAGGATCTGGATAACTAAATCTTGCTTTTCATAAGAGCTCATAGCAGCCACTTTTACTGTTGGGGGGGATGGGGGGAGAATGCTTTGTGATTCTGTGACAAGGTGTCACTATTGTAGGCTGTACCACCCCAAGATGAGGCTGAGCGGGGAACTCTGAATACTTTAATAAGGTCACGTTGGATTTTTCAGCAAATGGAAACTTTGCTTCCTCTGTGTTAGCAGATACCTCTGGATTCTTGTAAACGCAAGTGCTTCCCTTTTCTTGTGTGAGTTTTCTTTTCCTCTCCCTTTCTGTCTTGTCAAATCACCTTCCTCTCTCTCTTTGACTGTAGAATTAGCTGGAAGGCAGAGGATTTAGGGAGAAAAGATAAGTTTCTCTGTCTCTGAAAGTCTACTGTTGATAAGGTGTGGGGAGGCGGTCTGTGGGAAATCTTTTTTTATTAATATTTATTTATTTTATTATTATTATTCTTTATATTGGGGAACTGAGGAGGGGAACAGCCAAGTTGTTGTCCTTCAATCTTAGTTGTGGAGAGTGCAGCTAGCTCAGCTCCAAGCCCAGTCGCCTTCTGCCATCCAGCCACCCCACGGCAGCTTGCGGCTGCTCAGCTCACAGTGCCGCGTTCAATCTTATTGGGTTGTCAGAAAAGTCATGACATGATTTTTGTATGTTTTTCGTTGCAAAAATGCGACATGATTTTTCCAACAACCCAATAGTTGTGGGTGGGCGTAGCCCACCATCCCACATGGGAGTCAAACTGGCAACCTTGTTGTTAGGAGAATGTGCTCTCACCAGCTGAGCCATCCTGCCACCTGTTGGCAGCTCAGGGGCAGCTCTCAGCTCAGGCACAGCTCACTGGCCCATGTGGGAATCAAATTGGCGGCCCTGTTGCTCAGAGCTCGCGTTCTTAAGTCAACTCTTAACCAACTGAGCCACTCGGCCGGTCCCAATAATATCATATGATATTTGAAATGTAATTCAAAGGAATCCAATAGGAGAGGGGGGCAGAATTAACAGATGAAGAATATATTCATTTGGAAGGGAGCTCATGTAGCCTGGGAATAAATTGAGCGCTATTCTCTGAGTGGTTCTCATTCCTGGGCATCTCCATCTACTGCTATGTTGATTTCAGTTTTTATGTATGGCATATGTCTGGTAATTTATTGCTAATACAAAAGTATAAGAGTTTGAAATTGTATTTACTTGAACAAGTGAAACAGATTGAAGGTTGTCCCTATGATGTTTCTCGTCAGACGAGGCTTCGTTCTAAGAACTCCAAAATGCCTTCTTGAGTAGGAGAGAAAGGAATTAAATGACAGCCCATTTAATCTGCTGTTGTCCATAGCAACCTACCTTACATATGCATTGTAGTTTGTTGTGAAATTTATAAATTATTATAATGCTTTACATCCTTGCAGTCATTTTGGGGTTTCATCAAAATGTAGATTTGTTTACGAGATTGTGCTTTGCAAAGACATAAGATCCCTTGTGCGTGTGATAATGGAGGGGAAAATGTTAAGAAACATTGTGCTAGAACAGGTCTTAATAAGCCCCTAAAAGGGCTGCCCTAACCCTGATCCCTTGTGTCCATCAGAACTAATCTGAAAATGATACTCCACACTGGCTTAAGCAAAAATGGGAATTGGTTGACTTTTATAACTGAAAGGTCCAGGGTTGCCGCTGACCTCAGATGTGCTGGAATCAGGGGTCAAACTTGCTCCACCTCTCAGCTCTGCTCTCCTTCATATTGACTTTATTCTCAGGTCACATGGTGGCAAGATGGCTGCCAGGAGCTCTATTGCTCATCCTCTGAGACTCAAGTCCAGTGAGAAAGGGAGAGCCTCATTTCTAGACGATCCCTCAGAAGTGTGCCGGGACTCACTCTGGTTGACCTAGCCTTAAATCGATTAATCATTGTTACCAGCAGGACACCATGTGCACCTGCGGACGGGGGTTTGTGAAGGCCCAAGCGGACCACAAGGGTAGAGTGTGGGGAAGAGATCAACAGAGAGTGGATGCTAGAAAGGTAATCAACAAATATCCTTTCTAACCCCAAGCGGCCATCTTGAAAATGCTCAGAAAGAACCAGATGAAAGAAAATCCCTGGCTAGGGACCACTCCAGCCCCAAGAGTGGGAAAAAATATATAACCCTATGATTTCTTGAGAAAATAGATCATGTTATGACAAGGTGTCCCATGTGGTAAGAAGTCACTTCTATCTAATTCAAGGAGACTGAGAAACGCATTCTCTTTAATAGATGTCTCAGAAGGTGACGTCAGAATGCCCCCACGCTTCCTCTGAATGACTGGTTTTGCAACGTTACTTCCCCATCATCCTTTAGTCTGGTCTCACCTTTGCTTCCTTTCTTCAAGCACACTTTACTTGACCACAGGTTCCCCTTTGGTGTTAAAGGAAATAGCTGACTTTCTGGAAGTACTGTTTAGAAATGCATTCTGTAGTATAATAGAAAACCCTACTGCATTGGTTTAAACAGACAGCGGGGGTGTTTGGCTTTCACAATAGGAAGCCCCAGGAAGGAGGCAGTCAAGAGCTGATATGGTGATTCAACAATAATATCAGGAACACAGGCTATTTATACAGTTCCAGGCCATAATCCTTAGCATATACACCTTTCTTCTCAGGCTAGCCACCCCTGTTACAAGATGGATCTATCAACCTCCTGGCTATGTTCATGATCCAAACAGAAAGAAGAGACAGTGGTCAAGGCTTTTTTTTAATGTGAAACCTTGCCTTTTTTTTTTTTTTAAGATTTTATTGGGAAATTGGGGAAGGGGAACAGCCAAGTTGTTGTACTTTAGTCTTAGTTGTGGAGGGCACAGCTAGCTCAGCTCCAAGTCCAGTCCCATCCTGCTGCCCATCAGCAGCTCAGGGCAGCTCAGCTCAAGGTGCCGTGTTTAATCTTAGTTGTGGGAGTGGGGGAGGGGGTGCAGCCCACCATTCCATGTGGGAGTTGAACCAGCAACCTTGTTGTTAGGAGCACGTGCTCTCATCAGCTGAGCCATCCTGTTGGCAGCTCAGGGGAAGGTCTCAGCTCAGGCACAGCTTACTGGCCCATGTGGGAATCGAACTGGCGATCCTGTTGCTCAGAGCTCACACTCTTAGCCAACTCGGCCGGCCCAGGCCTTCCCTTTCTATGTGAGAAGTGTTAAATGATAAAAATTTTTTAAAGAACAAAAGCATGACTCTTATCCAATTATGAAATACACGTGTCAAAGATTTTATTTCACTTGTTAATAAGGGAGTCAGTAAGATACTAAAACCAACTCAAAGGAGAACTTTAACACACGTAGGCAATTATATATGCATACATAAGCAATCAGGAATGCTGAAATGAGTCTACAAATAGAAAACTAGTCAACAGAGTAATCACTAATTGCAGCTCATCCAGACACAATTCACGTGCATTTCTATGGACAGGAGCCAATTGCATTACTATTGGTTTTCTACAACTTACAAAACTGTAAAATAGCGCAAAGACCATGAAAGATGGCAATGACGCCAAAAAGAATGCTAGCTAGGACACCCAGTATTTTTTTTTGTCCAGTTAAAAACCTTTCATAGTGTTTCCCGACAGAAGAGATGCCCTTCTCAGCATCTATCTATATCTCATTGACCAGAACTGTGTCACTTAGCCACCTGTGGTGCAAAGGATGCTGGGAAATTCAGTATCTTTAACTATACTCCTACTATCTCAAGTGAAATAGGATTCTGTTAGTAAGGAAGTCTGCCTCTCTTACACACCCACTTCATGTGTCAAGGACAGTAGTTTATTTAATAATTTTCAGCACATGTGAGTATGAGGATGGCTGTAGTGAACGTCTGTTGTTTTTGATACATCAGTACAGCTCCCTCTTCTGGTCATAGGGCCTCAGATTTCCTTTGGGATGTGCCCTACCCTGCTCTCCAAACCCAGTTCCGAAGGGGAAACTCAACTCAGGGCTTGTCTAGTTATGGTGATTGATTTAGGGATGGACATGACTGGAGCCAGGCCAACCAAATTCAACATTTGGACATTCATTGGGACAAAACTGACTTACACTAGAAAACAGTAATACTTAAGTCTGAAAGATATTTGGTCCATTTCCTGATGATGCTTGGTACACAAGTGGATTCTGTATCCTTTGCAATCATTCCACTGCCTCTCAAAGAGTCTGCGGGTTCCTGGTAGAAACCATTGTGATGTTTCTTTATTTAACAAGTTGTTTCTCTTTTTAGTACCTGAGAGCTGGCAGACTGTGGCGGCGCTGTGAAGTGCAAATCTGCGTTTGAATGCCAGCGGTGTCAGGCAGAGTCCACTCAGAAAACAGAACCCCATCTAAGTATGTAAAGTAGAGGAGAATTTCGTTCAGGGGATTGGTTCCACAGGGAATGGAACTGTTGAAAAGCTAAACAGAGGTGGCTGAGGCAACTCAGAAATTAGCCATCAAGAAGCCGTCACCACCTGTAGACTGGAGACCAGACCCAGGAAGGGGGCTGTGTTACAGGAGTCCAGGATCTGTGACCCTCAACCAATAGAGAGAGAGAACCAGCTACTGCCAGAGATGGGGCTCTAGGGGGTGGAGTGGGGTGGATGAGAAGGAGGCTGAACCTTGCTGGAAGCTCGGGATCATGGGAGCCTGGGAATGCATTCCATAGGGGTCAGCACCCCCTTCCCTACAAAGCAAAGCAAGAAAAGGGGGAGGAATGGAACTGAAAACATTGGGTGTATCATGCAGGACTGGTCGCCTTTGACAGGCCACCTCTCCATAGTTCATTACATCTAAGGTGCCATCGATTGTAAGATACTCCCTTGTTTTGTGCACCACGAAGAAAGATGCTGCCAGTTAAACTTAGACACAATGCTAAGACTCCATCCATTGCAATGCATCTTGTTATGAGAGATGTTAGAAAGTGCATCTTAAGATCAATAAAAATATGCTATTAGCCATGTGATCTTATGCATATGCGGACTTAATTCATTTCCACCTTTGAGCTTCGATTTTACTATCTGGGAATTAGAGACAATAATACCTATGTGACGGGGTTTTTATAAGGATTAAATCGCCTAGCAGGTCTAAGACTGTTAGTCAGGGCATAGACTTTGTCTCTTGTTCACTGTGTCCCCAGTGCCTGGAGCGTAGGGGGGACCCAAGAGAGTTTTGTGGAATGAATGCCCCCAGACCCTATATCCCCCAAACAGCAGGTTCTTAGCACATAGTGGGAGGTGGGTGTCAATAAATGGAAGCTATTATTATTATTGGAAGTGGGAGCTGTTATTATTGGAATCAAACATGCTTGGGAACAAGATCTTCTTTCACTAATGTCACATAGAATTGGCTCTTTTGTGAGAGGGGGGAAACTTTTGTTTAAGAAAGATGCCAGAGTGGAGGTCACAGTGGCTGGTGGAAAAGATTATGTCAAATGGCTTCGTCAACGCACAAAAAAGTTCTGAGCAAAAAATTTAAGGGTGATGGTGGCAGCGGAGAATAAAGTTGGTAGGGAAGGAAGGGAATGGGGTGGAGGATAAAGCAAAATAGAAAAGAACAGCTTCCACCATCTACAAAGCACTTGTCTGACCTAGTTTTTCCCTTAATCCTCTTAGCTCTGCACGTGTTGCAGTGTTAATTCCATTTCAAAAACGGGATTCGGGCTGAGTATGGATCTGAAGGGCTTTTCCCAAAATGAAACAACTAGATGGAAGCAGAGCTAACCCACCCACCAGGCTTCAGCCTCCTGGGGGCAAAACCTGAGATGATTAATTCCAATTTACATCACATATAATGCAAGGATAAGCAAACACGAGGAAGGCGATGAAGACAGTCGTGAGGGTAGTGAGACTGGGGGCGAAGAGAAATACTTAAATAGCGTTGAGATTATCTTTTCAAGGATAATGCTGCCAATGGAGGGAACGAGGTTAAAATGAAACCAAACGCCTTTTTCCAGCTGCAATCTCCCCGCGAAGGGCTGACTCATCCAATAGGAAGCAGGTTAGTCAGGACTCCGGGATGCACCCCAGAGCGAAGTTCCCGAGCTCCTCAACAGGGAGTCGTTGCGGATTTCGACGCACAGCTCCGCTTTTTCCAATCAGCCTCTCCCGCGCGCCGACCGCCAACCACCCATCTTCTCCTACGGGCGTCGAGCACCGCCTACTGGCCGTCAGCCGCCCGGCCGCTTGGCTCCGCCCCCCCACCTCCGAACGAAACGCGCATGCTCCCCACTTCCTCTCCGCCCTTCAGGCTTCTCGCGACAGCCACTCCTCGGCGGCCTGAATCTCGCGATAAAGGCTGATTGTCTCGCGGGAGCGCGGCTGGCAGACGGGCTCTCGGGTGGCCCGGGCCAGAGAAGAGGAGTTGCATGTGTCGCTTCAGCTGGCGGTAGTGGCGGGCGCGGAGGCGGCGGCGGCGGCTGTTTGACCGCCTGGGTAATGACCCCCCCCGTGCTTCTCCCACGTCCGAAAACCTCGTAGAGAGCTTGGGGAAGCTGAGGTTCTGGCCGGCGGAAGGGGGCCGGGCCGGGCGTCTCCACATCCCCGCCCACATGGGCCCCTCGGGTGTCCCCGGGATTGCCCCTTCGCTGCAGGTGTCTCCCCCTCCCACCTGGCCCCCCTTGTGGCCTCCGCGCTGGTACATGCTGCTCCTTTCCGGTTTTTCTGCCCCATTTTCTCTCCTTACAGCCTGGTCTCCCCGCCCCCTCCCACTCCCATCCCCACTCCTGACTCCTCAGTGACCCGCCCTTGGCTTTTAGCTGCCCCCACACCCTGCCCCCTGGGCACTTCGGTGACTCCACCCTTGCTCCGTAGGCTTTTCCAGCTTCCTCTTCCAGCTGCCCTGTGGCCTTGCTCTCTCTTTGCTGCAGTTTGCATCCATTTCACATCACCCCCCGACTTGTTGCCCCATCTCTACGGAATTCACCCTCCCCATCCATTTTTCCCCATTGCTTCCTCTTTCACTAGTGACCCCCCCCCCGGCGCCCCCCATTCTTCATGGCCCAGTTGCTATGAGTCTCACTGTCAGTTGCTTCCCTGTAGACCTGTGGACCTGATAAATGGTGTGCCCAGAATGGCTCATATTTGACAAATCCTAATGGCAGCCCGTGTCCTTCACTTAACTACAGACATGAAACCGATTTAAGGTGTGGGTATTTCAGGTGGAAGGAGGCAAGACTACAGCTGAACACTGCTTCTCTGGGGTCCTGGTCCAAAATTGTGACGATGTATTATTTTCCTTGCTTACAGGTTTGTGAGATGGCTGCTGACTTTTCTGAGTCTGGTGGGCATGATTGCAAAGGAGACTCGAGGAGCAATACCAAATTAGATGCAGATTACCCACTTCGAGTTCTTTACTGTGGAGGCAAGTGTCAGAAGGCAGAAAGTGATTTTTTTTACGGACTGTATTTTTATGCATTGTGGTAATAGTTTCACATTTGGTTCTAGTAATCCTTTTTTCATCTGTCTTTGCCACTTGATGAACCTGTCATTTGGGAGCGGGGGAGAATGATGAAGAGGGAGGCATAGATTAACATTTTTCCAACCTGTGTGACTTGGGTCTTGTTACTTGGCTTGGGGAAGCTTACCGTCCAGTTGGGAGAGAGACATACAAATAGATTTTTTTTCAGCCTTGTGTTACTTGTTAGTCTGGCTGTTAAAGGAGGGCCTCTTGGAAGAGGTTGGGTCTTAAGGAATGACAAGGAAGTGGAGAATGACATCCCAGATGAAGTGAACAGCTATGCAAAAAAAAAAGCTTGGTGCACATCTGGAGACGTGAGTAGTCTTGTGTTAGTATAGGGTATATAGTATAGGAGGGTGTCAGTAAGGCGTCAAAGCTGATAAGGTTTCCGTGATGGGTAGTTGGACAGCTTTGGTTTGATTACTAATGTATGTGTTAGATTGAATCAGGATTTTTTTCCCCTTTGAGTTCCCCCCCCCCCTCATTTTCAATTACAGAAATATTTGTGAATTGGAAATGCTCTAATTTTGTTACCGTCTTGGAAAGTTTCAGAAAAATTTGATGGTACAAGGCAGTACAAGGGCAAGTAACTATTCATTTTATTCGGCAAAGACTTTTGACCATGTATTATGTGCCTAGCAGTGTTTTTTTAGGTGCTGGGGCTTGAGTAGTAATAAGTCAGAAAAGGTTCTTGTTCTCGTGGACCTTACATTCTGTGAGTATAATAGAGAGCTCATCTGAAGTTAAAGTACTCAAGGAGAAGTGATGTCACTGAAATTTAAAAAAAAAATTGTATCAACGCATCACTTATTGAATATCTCTGATAGTAAAATAAAATTAGTACCTCAGGAAGAGAGTAGGCAGGGGAGCTTTTTGTAGGGTTGTTATATTGGTCTTACTTGGCTGTATTGTTTGCCTTTGGAGCCATAGAACACCAGGGTTTGCGTCTAACTCCAGCATTAACAGCTAGATGACCTTGGGCAAGTTACCTAATTTCACTAAGGGCTAGAGGTTTGTCTCTTAAGGTCTGTAAAATGGAGATGATGATTGCATCTTAAGTCAGATGATTTGTATAAAGTTTCTGGTACAGCAGCTCACACAAGAGCGTAGTACAATAAGTGCTAACTAATACTGTTATTATAAAGTATACTAGTTTATTATGGTTTATTCATCCTTGTTTATCAGATGTAGTTAAGAGCTATTGTTCTTTGTACCTTGTTTCATCGAATCTAAGACTCGGTATTTTATAAGATGCACCATTATATTAGGTTCCACTAAGAAAGAAAAAATGGTCACATTGGTAGGCTATAATTATAAGATCATTCCTATAAAAATGAAAAATTATAATTGGTGAACTACGGTATAAGAAAACCATCCTATTGATTGATTATATCACTGCTAAGGTGGCTTTTGAACGGTTGCACTAAATATGCAGTCCACCCCAGTGATAACTTGCGTAGGCCAGAGGTTCCTCACCTATTTGAGAAAGGTTTATTTCCCTAGTTTGTATTGCTATTCCAGGCATGGCGACAGGGTTACTTTTTCCTCAAGAGGTGTAAGGTCTAGTTGTAGAAAAGCACTTAGGGAATATTAAATGCTAAATTAAATGGTACTAACTAATATGAATTTGGAGTTCAGGAAAAGGAGGGATCTTTGTTCAGAGGGAAGTAGGGACGTTTCCAAGGAAGTGAGAAACTTTAGGTAATAGGTGGAATTTGCAAGAAAAGGTGAAGGAATTCATAAGAACAATGTGGTGGCAAGATTTAATATGGTATCTTCAGCAGAGAGGGAAAAGAAAGGGCTGATGGGAGCGGAATGCTGGTTGGAGTACAGTGAGAAACACGGGTAGCTAGGATGGGGTCATCGCTGGGGAGACATTTCGTCTTCAGGTTTGAGACTCCAGACTCTGAAGTTAGCCTGAGTTTGAATCCTGGATCAGCCATTTGCTTACTGTGTGACCTTGGCCAGTTCCCTCATTTATAAAATGGGCAACAATAGAGCCTACTTCAGAGGGTTGTTGAGAAGAATAAATGCAATATAATTCTCCCAAAGGCTCCACCTCCTAATACCATCACATTGAGCATTAGGAATTCAGCATAGGCATTTTGAGGGACACAGACATTCAGACCATGTCAGGTTTCAGGGATGATGATACTTTGTTCTCCATACGTCGTCACATCAGCAGGTACATACTGTCAGGTTATTGTTCCACTGTTAGTGATGGGAAGTTTGAAGATGACTGCTAGATCTTTGCATTGAAAAGCTATAGTTTACAAATAGTGATCTGCGGAGAGAAATTGATGTTAAAAGCAAATAACAGTGAACTCAGAAGAATTGTCCACATTTTTTTTTACTGTATTAGAATTTTGCTGAACTGAATTTTATTTGAAATGGTACACAAAGTTTTATAGCTTTAGTTTTTGCTGTAATGGTATTTAACATATAATTATATACTGAAAGTATGGCTGAATATCTGTACCTACTAGATTTGAACTTGAACTGTGAAGGTTACAGAGCTCTAGTTAACCAGGGAGAGCTTTAGTAGAAAGAACTCTAAACTTGAAATAAAGAGGTGCTAGATTCCAGTTTTGTTCTGCCACATACCGCCTTTGTCACCGGATGAACTATTTAACCTTCTTTAGGGAAAATAGTGGTGACGGGGTGAGATAGCAGAGCACTGTCACCTGGCTGGCACAGAGCTGTGTTGCCTGTATATGCTGTGTAATCTAATTTAGTGATTAAGGGTGTAAGCTTCAGAAACAGACCAGGGTTCAAATCCTGTTCTAACCAGATGTAAGTGGGTTGCCTGCTCTAAGTCTCATTTTTTTCGTCGTCAGATACGGTAATTCGCAGCTTTTAAGGTTGTGATGATGAAACATAATGGATAAAAAAACCAGTATATGGTAATTACTCTTATAGCAATGGTGTACTCCTCCTCTCCCTGCCAAAGCTCAAGAATATTGGGCACTGAATTACCCCATTCGTCACCTTAAAAGTAAAAACAAAATAAGCAGCTGACCCAGTAATAGAAGTGTAGTTAAAATTGGGAGTTCTAGTCCCTTAGCCCATGCAGGCTGTACAATGACAAGATTGAACCAGCGTTCCTTCTAGCTTTACAGTTTCATGCTCTAATGTAGCATAATATGAAGAAGGAAAAGTATGTTAACAAAGAAATGGTAGCAAAAGTGCTACTGAAGTTTATAAATGTGTTAGTATGAATAAGAAGTGGCTGTTCTGATAAAGCTATCAAAAGAAGTAATTAGCTCCTTTCAAGCTTTGCAGTATTGGGAATCGTTCCCATCTTAGCTTGGTATCAGACCCACTGAAGTGGTTATGGTAAAACCTTAAGATATGCAAGATAGTATAGTTGGATGTTCCATCAACCCTAGGAGATATTCTTTAGATAAAAAAAAAAAATCAGGGTAATATTTTTATTAACCGTGTGCCTTTTACCTCAAAAAAAAAAAGGCACGATGGGTAGCATTTGAAAAGTAGTACAGAAAAGATACAGGGAAAAAGTAGAAATAAAGCATTTTTGTCAAATTTAAAATAGAAGTTATGAGTGCTGTGTATATGTATATTTAAATTTTAAAATCTTTTTTTCTCTCCATTTCCCCAGTCTGTTCATTACCAACAGAGGTAAGTTCTTTTAAAGTTCTTTTTAAATTTCTGCATTTGAGGTCATTGATTTCAGAGCTAGCTGAAGCTCTTTTTTTCTTACTTTTCATTTTCTATCATTTGAGAGATTTTCACCTTTTCATAGAGAACTTTGGTTTAGAATAATTTTATGGTCTTTCAAATTGTCGTCTTTAGACTTTGAGTCGTATGTGTACATCGTTTGCACTTGGCTGTACAGTTTGGAGTTTTGTATGGAACTCATGAGTAGTCAGCTAATAAAACGAGTAACCTTAAAGCCAAAATTTAACATCCAAGCAGATAAGAGAAAGCATATGTTATGTGTAAGACTTCTATTAATAAGCTTCGAAGTCAGGCTCTGGGGGCAAGTCATGGAAATAATGAGACACCTGTGTGCCCAGAGCAAGGAGATAATGCTTGTTTTTGTCGGTTTGCTCCTTTTTCTAATGGCCCTTATGTTTGATGGAGAGGAAGTAAATTACTTTAGCGAGGAAGTGCCTAATTCTTTTTTTTTTTTTTCCTAATTCTTTTTAATTTCTAATTTCTTATGGGGTGTTTCCTGGTTGCGTATAGATTTCCTGTGGATAAGATGTCAGGTGGGAGTAGTTAGTTTTATCATTCTTTAGGTAGCAAGTATAGGGAATGATTTTAAATTAAAATGTATTGGTTGACTGAAAATTTTTTTTGTGACTCAGTTCTTTTTCTTCCCCCACAGTACTGTGAATATATGCCTGATGTTGCTAAATGTAGACAATGGTTAGAGAAGAATTTTCCAAATGAGTTTGCAAAACTTACTGTAGGTATGAACATTTTTTTTTTCTTTCATCAAAGCTTGTACATCTGAAACAAATGCATGTAAGGCATTATTTTAAAGCTATGAAAGATCTTTAGTAGGATAATTACCGAGTTACTGGTCTATATCTATGAACTTTAAATCTATTTTAAGTTCTTGGGCTGAAATTCCTTATATATTGGGTTGTCGAAAAGTCATGACGCATTTTTGCAACGAAAAACATAGAAAAAATACGTCATGACTTTTCCGACAACCCAATAAAATCACACACTGCGTCATGTGTTTTCTCTCCCTGAGACAGGATAGTTCAGAGTATCAACTTTCTTATGTAAAGATGAGTAAATAATTTAGGGGTAAATATATTTTCACTCATTCATTCAACAAGTTACTTCTCGTAAGCATACGCTATACCACACACTGTTTCAGATGCTGAGGATAAAGCAGTAAACAAAAGATCTCTTTGGAAATTACATTCTCGAAGGAGACACAAAATAAGTAAAATGAGAGAAACGAAATAAGTATGTTATGTAGTGATCAGCAGGGAATGGGGGCAGATAAGAATTATTGGGGAGGAAATTTGAAATATTAGGTAGTGGCCAGGAAAGATTTTGCTGAAAAGATGGCATTTGAACAAAGATCTGAAGGAAGTGAAGGAGTGAGCCCTTTGGAAACCTGGGAGAACATTATTCCAGGTGATTAACAGTGCCAGTGCAAAGGCCCTGAGGCAGGAGCGTACCAGCATATTCAGGAAACAGAGAGGAGGCCTTTCTGTTTTAAGCTTAACGGAGGAGGAGGGGAAGTGTAGGAGATAAAGTCAGAGAAGCAATGGAGGACCACATCTTTAAGACCACGTCTTGAGTTTTACTCTGAGGGGAGCTATTGGAGGGGTTTGAGCAGACGAGAGATAAGGTCTGAGTTTGTTTCAACAGCATGTCTTTGGCTGCTGTGTTAGGAGTAGACTGAAGAGAGGCATAGGCAGCAAAGCAGGATGATGACCAGATAGGAGACTCCAGCAGTAACCTGTTCACGTGATGATGACGACCTGGACCAGAATGGTAGCAGTGGAGGTGGTGAAAAGTGATCAGAGTCTATCTGGTGTGAATATTGAAGGTGGAGCAGACAGGGTTTTCTGCTGTCCCACATGTGGGATGTGAGAAAAGGGCCATCTAGGGCCTTGGGCCAAACAACTAGAGTGGAGTTGTTGCCAGAGGTGAGGAACCTTGACTGCAGAGGACCAGATTTTCTCGATTTGCTGAAGCTGAGGGCTTCTCTTACAAGATTGGTAAAAATGAAGGCAGGAGCAGAGGAACGCCTGGGCTGGCAGGCCTATCAGATATACCCACTGTTACCCCACTATTTGCTGCTTTGATTTTCAGGTTGTTTGCATGAGGCACAACCCTTGAAACCTGATAAGGCCTTTTTGGAGAGCAGCTACAGCCACTGTCCGTGGCTGAATGAGAACCCTCAAGTCACGTGTTACAGTCTTGTCTATATGGTTGGCCCTCAGAATGATGGGACTTGAGGAGGAGGGGGTGGGAAGCTCTTATTTGGGACCAGACTTCCTATTAACAAGATTACTGTATTTTGCTGTGTATGATGCATACTTCTTTGCCCAAATTGGTGAGGAAAAAATAAGGATGCACATTATACATCCCTGGGTAGTACTAATTCCATATCTATATAAATGTTTTTAATTCTTTTATTTATGTTTATGAGTTAAAAGTGTAACTCTAGAAATCAATAGCGATATCTGTATGCAAAATAATACCCTGGAATACGATAATTGGTTTTGTTGAACTTACAACGAACTTGGAACAATGAAGTGTTCTTGGCCTCTATGAGGTGTAAATATTGTAAATTTGTTACCGGTACATAAAATTTCTTGTACCATAACATGTTAAATAAACATGGGGCAGCCAGTTAGCTTAGTTAGAGTACAGTGCTCATAACACCAAGGTTGCTGGTTCGATCCCCACATGGGTCATGGAGCTGTGCCCTCCACAACTAGAATGAAACAACTACTTGACTTGGAGCTGATGAGTCCTGGAAAAACACACTGTTCCCCCATAAAATTTCAAATTAATAAATAAATGCTAAAATTCCTTTATAATACAAAAACAAGTACCCAAATGTAAACAAATAAAAATTTGAATTAAAAATTAAAACGAAAGATTTTTTTTTCCCCTGAAAGTTTGGGCCAAAAACGTGGGTGCGCATTATACACGGCAAAATACAGTAGTTTATTTTTATATTTGTATTTATTAATTTTTTTCAGTAGTATGTTTAGATGCCAAACACTCCTGCAGAGTCCTAAGTGTTTTATGCCCCTTACATATGGCTGAAAAAAATCATAATCTTCACATATCCAAGACTTTGTTTTGCCTTCTGTCACCATACATTTGCCATAATGACTTCAGAGTTAGACTTGATAAAAATCAAGCAGTGTCATCATTTGTTTTATAAATGGTGTGCTCAGTTGTTGGTAAAATGCCTGATTGGTGTATCAGGTTGCTCCAAGGTGACATTTTAATGCTAGCATCGAGCGATGTTAATGCTTTTGGATTTCGTTTTTACATCCAGAAAATTCACCCAAACAAGAAGCTGGAATTAGCGAGGGTCAAGGAACAGCAGGGGAAGAGGAAGAGAAGAAAAAACAAAAGAGAGGTGAGACCTAAATTCATGATTTGACGTACACGAACCTCCCTTCCTTCTGCCAGAGGAAATAAGTAATGAAAACATTCCCAAAGTGAATAACATCTACCTGTTACTGTAATTCCACGTGTGTGTCACCCAGAGGGATGCGAATCAGATTCTCAGGGTGGTTGGATGTGGTATGATTTGGGTTTCATCAGTAAATTAGACAGACATAAGGAAACATGCTTTATTTACCATATATGCATGTAAAAGGCAAGCAGCCAACTTGTTTATGATTTGAAAATTTTGTTACCTTATTAAAATACCTGTGTATTCTATTTAGAGTGAGGACATTTATATAAGATTTTATTCTCTCATTACCTTTGACCATTGAAATTTTTTTTTTTTAACACAGCTGTTGTGTATGCCTGTCTGTCTCTCCTCCTAAAACTAATTCCTGTCCCCACCTGTTTTTTCTTAGTCTTCCCCGTGACTAAAAGTAGCTTATAAATATTTTCAGGACTTTGCATCTAAAAAAACCATAATAATTCCCCAAGGGCCCATGCCTTTCTTTGCCTTTTCCCCGCCCGGCTCCCCTTCAGAGTCAGGCTTCTTTCATAAGATGAGACTCACTGCCCTTCTTGCCGTTGGGTCGTTCGCTGTGCACTTCACTATTCTGACCTGACCTTACCCTCACGCCACTGACCCTCCTCTGAAAGGGGCGCCGATGGCTCCGGAATTGCTACATAGAGCGTTTGAGCAAGTTCCCTTCTTGAAGTGCTGTTCTTCCTGGTTTCTGTGACACTCTTCCTTTCTTGTTCTGTCACTCCTCCATCTCCTGTGCAGAATCCACTTCTCCCTTCGGTCCCTTGACAGTTGGGGTTTCCCAGGATTCAGCCCTCGGCCTCCTGGCCGCCTCACTCTGCGTGTTCTCCCTGGGTGGTTCTTCCACGTGCCTAACTCCTGCCACCACTCCACACTTAACAATTCCTGAATCTGTGTCTCTCATTCTGGCCCACGTCTCTGGGCCGGAAATGTGTGTGGTCACACAGGCAGCACTTCCAAAATAAACTAAGTCCCAAATCTCCGTCTTTGGTTTCCCTGTTTGGTTAATGACAGCTCAGTTTATCCAGCCATCGAGCCAGAAACCTGAGACCCATCTTAGGTTCTCCCTCTGCCCCTTTTCCTCGGTTCCAAATTCTGTTCTTTCTCCTCCTTCCTTTTGTTATCCTCTGCCTGGTGACCACGACTGTTGCCGCTGCTTTGGTTTAGATTCTGATTAATTTCTGCCTGAACTAACGTAGGAGTGTCAGCCTTACTCTTTTTTTTAAAGATTTTATTGGGGAATCGGGGAATGGGAACAGACATGTTGCTGTCCTTTTGTTCTTCAGTCTAGTTGTGGAGGACGTTGCTTCACTGGCCCCAGTTGGCACCATCATTGCGCTCTTCCCGGGCGAGGCAGATCAGTCGCCATCCATTGGACAGTCGCACATGGCGGCTCACAGCAGCTCTCACCCGCTGCTGGCCACTCATGGTAGCTTACGGCAGCCCACTGCAGCCCCACTGCAGCCTACGCTGTCGCCAGCGACTCACGGCAGCCCAGCTTCAAGTCGAGCTGTTGTTTACCATCTTAGCTGTAGAGGGTGCAGCATCACTGGCCTTCATGTGGTATCCAAACCGGGGCCCTGCTGCTCAGAGCTGGTGTCGCAAGCCAGCTCTGAACCAACGCGCCACTGGGCTGGCCCTCAGCCTTACTCTTCACAGACCCACCTTCCACACTGTAGAATCATCTTGATAAAACATAAAGCTGGTTATTTCACTCCTGCATAGCCATTCAATGGCTTATCTTCCTCCTCAATAGAAAATCAAATAGCAACGCTTGATGTACTAGTCCTTTAAGGACTGATATATAATCTTTTGCTTTTTACATAAGCTTCCTTCATCAAGACAAGTGTAGTTCTCAAATATAATTCCTTTTCTTGTCTCTGAACTTGTTCCCTTTTCCTGGGATGTCCTTTCTAAAATGTCTCCAGCCCTTCTCACTTCACCTTATTCTCAAGAGCTTAGATGCCAGTCCCTTGAGGACCCCTCTCCTGTCCTTGAGAAGCAGAGGAAGCCGTTCTTCTCAAAGCTGTGATAGTGCCGTGTTCATGGGTCCTTGTCTAGTGTATGTCAGGTCGTGGTAGTTTATAACTTTCTTCGTCTCCCTTCACTAGAAGCCCTGGAGGGCAAGGGACTATGTTCTTTTCAGTTTATCTTTGTGTCTTCAGCCCTTAGTACGTGCTTGGAACATAATATTTATTGAATAAAGACTCATGCATGTGTTTATTAATTTTGGATTAGAAGAACTTCAGAAATTAATATTTGGTACTTTTGAAAATTAACAAATTTAATGACAGTATTCTCTCATTATGTTAAAATCAAAACAATTAATGCTGAGCTCTTTCTTAATAAATAAAGGTGGAAGGGGTCAAATAAAACAAAAAAAGAAGACTGTACCACAAAAGGTTACGATAGCCAAAATTCCCAGAGCAAAGAAGAAATATGTAACAAGAGTGTGTGGCCTTGCGACTTTTGGTGAGTTTAAACTTAAGTGTGTTTAAAATGTGTGAACTATTTTCTCTCTCTCATTCTCTCCCTCTTTTAATCTGGTATCATGAAAATTTCACAGGTTTTATTTTTTGCTAAGAAGATATTGAGATTTTGTATTTCTTACTATAGCTTCAGAATCAAATTTTGATGAAATTTAAGACTCCTTTGCAGAAGGGACTGGTTTAACTTTTTCCTTTCCAGAATTCCTGCTTGGGCATATTCTATGTAGAATGCGGAGGGCTAGATTGGGTTCCCTTAGAAGCCTACTAGTGCTGGTCCTCTGTCCCTGCAGGCTTGGTGGCAAAGAATGGCTTGTCCCCTCTGGGAATGACAGTAGAGAGTGAGGGAAGTTGGGTGGTGGTAGAATGTCCTGAGTCAGAGCCCCTTCCATTCCTGGGGACCTTGAGTGAATAGTGAAACTGTAAACCATGGTCCCTTAATGTGACAACACAGATTGAAAAACAGTCACTGGACCACAGTATAAATATTGGGTTTGTTTCTCTGCTGTGAATTATTATTTTGTAAAAAGGAATACACAAAAGAACTTCATTATACTTGAAAGTCTATATGTATTGTTGGAATTAATGTGTTCCTGGATTTTTTTTGGTCTTAACGTAGGAGTTAACGAATAGTATGGATGATGCTATTTTTACGTACTGAGATTTTACTTGACCTTGAAACTATAAGTTGAATTGTGAAGACCACTGCCTGTGGTAGTTTGTAATTATTGCTCTGAAAGGAATTATGAATTAAAAATGCAGATTAAATTTCAAAATGAAATATCTTTGACATACAATTCCAATTATAGTCTTCCTGTTTCTTTTTAAAAAATAACAGAAATTGATCTCAAAGAAGCACAAAGATTTTTTGCTCAAAAATTCTCCTGTGGTGCCTCAGTAACAGGGGACGATGAAATCATCATTCAGGGAGACTTTACAGATGACATAATTGATGTCATTCAGGAAAAATGGCCAGAGGTGAGTATATGGAACATATGCATCTGAAGAAGTAAGTTTTAAAGCAAGTTGCTTCTGTATTGTTTGATACTACAACTCATGAAATGTGATTATTTGTGTTTTATAGGTAGATGATGATAGCATTGAAGATCTCGGTGAAGTGAAGAAGTGATTTTGAAAATTTGTCTGTATTTAATGATCTGAACTGAGAGTTGATATGGCCAAAGGGAGAGAGGCCTTTTGAAAAAAATATATATTTATCCTACAGTAAAACTGTAGACTACTCTCGCCCTTGGCGCTTTCACTGTTCTGTACAAGGCTGCTTGTTTTTTTTATTGCCAAAGTCTAATGAACAGGGGAGACTGTCATGCTTATGCATGAAATAGAGTTTAGTCAAATAAACAATTTTGGTCACTTGGTATTGACTTCTCTCTGTCTTTTTAACTTTTTATTTTTGGAAAAATAGACTTTTTGTGGAAAGCTTATCTGTTGATTATTTTTAAATGGTCATGATTTAATCAAATCGTGATATAAAGCTGAGTAATATTTTAAAGAATTTGAATGTGGCTTCATCACCGGTAGTAACTATCTCCGTGCTTCTTTGGTCTGATAGTTGGGGGTTGCTTGAGCATCTGATAGATTTGTAGTTGAAATGGCTTCACACCTATGTCCACACGGTGGGCACATTAATGTACTATTGATAGGAGTTATTCAAGCTCTTCTGAAGATGACTTGGTAAAGTATATTAAAAGCCTTAAAACCATCTGCACTGTTTGACCCAGTAAGCCACTTCTTTGACATTATCCTTAAGATAAAATAAGTCTTATGTTCATCACGTTGTTACTCAGAAAACAAAACATTACAAATGATGTAAACAAACAATTGGGAGATGGTTAAAGAAATGATGGTGCATCATACTGTAGATGATTACACATATATTTTAAAACATTTTCCAAGAACACTTGGAAACGTTTAGTAATGTTTACTAATGTTAAGCAGGGAACAGACCCCAAATCCATTTTATGCATTATCATCATCATTGTTTTGAGTGGAAGGCCATTCAGCGAGGCTGGGAGTTCTTGTTCTGGCTATAAATTATAATATGAGTAAAATTCTGCTAACCAGTTGAAAATAATATAAACCCATGTTCAATATAGTGTCTGGGAAATCGCAATTGAAACATTTTTGTCACAAAAGAAAGTGATGATTTTAATGAATGCACTAAATGAATTTAAACTTCGTTTTTATAAAGGTCTTAAGTCAGGTGCTACAAATCGAAAAGAAGACTCATGGTATTTTAATTGCTATAGAAACTTGTAAGAAATTTAGAACCCATTGTTTATTGCCATGCAAATTATAATCTTGAATGAATGAGTGGTTTTTAGAAAATAATTAAAATCTTAGACTGTGCAGTAAAGATGCAAATTAAAAAAATGAAATTCTGCATCAACTGAATTTACCAAATAGGGTTATCTGATGAACCAAATTTATCCATCAAGACCATTTGGTACGTGTTATATATGCTGTTGGTGCTGGAAGTTGTCTGTGTGCCTGTATCAACACATGTGACTTTATGCGAAGGCTCTGAATGTTCTCAGTTCTTGGCAAATGCAGTTTCAATCCATACATGGCCAGCAGTGGCTGTTCCTGCAGGAAAAGCAGAATTAAAATTGTCCTTGTGTATAACACGTGTGAATCTTTTTCTTTGACCTGAATTTAAAATGCAGCATAGTTTAATATCTGATTGAAATGTACTAATAGAACAAGGATTAACTTTAATTCATATACTCTCATTACATGTGTATTCTGGAATGTTTTAACAGTCTAGTATTTTTAGCAGAATAACCGTAAAAACCTTATCTCATAATATGTGTAAGAGATTTGCCATGATTAAGCTGGCAACTTCAAATGCCAGTAAGTTTTGATATGCACTTTATTCGTTTAAAAAATAGATGCTAACAGTGATTTTAAATTTCTTTTTAGTTATTACATAGCAGCCTCCATAAATCAGCTGTTACTTAAGATATAAGCCACGGTAGGTTTCTCGCTGTTAGTTTTAAAAAGTTGATAAATTACTATTTTAAAGATGAAGGTTACCTTTTAGAGCCTGTCTTCATTACTTACTAAATTCCTTTATTTAGGAAATAAGATAGGGAGCGAATGAGTTCATTTAGCTCATCAGTTTGAATTAGGCTGAGTGTGAAATCAGATGCAGCATAATTCTTACAGCTTTCATAAAACATCATTTAGAACTGTATCTTCTCTTTAAAGGTTTGTCCTGTTTTAAAGAATACCTGTGGGAATGAACTTAAAATATTGAAATTTTTTTACTTGCAACTAGTCATAACACTCTTGTCACAGTCAGTTAATATTTACCAACCATAATCTCACCAGATGAGCCTCGTTTCTTAGTATTTCCCGTACTCATACTTTTACAGTGAGTGTTTGGCATAGGGTTTCCTTATGAACAGTGGCATCCTAGGGCTTCCTAAAAAAAAAAAAACTACCAAGTCTTACATGGTGAAATTGAAAGCATTTGAATGGAAATGTTCCCCAGCTGGAAAACTGATATTGAACCACGTTCCTTTTGACCTCTCCGTTACATCACCAAGACTTAACTACATAGTCTTCTGCTGATAGACTGCATGTAACAACCAGTCAGAATTTGCTTTCTTGACTTGAAATTTTAAGACATTGTCTTGCTGGCTCCCCAACACATAAACCTATCCCAAGGAGGCACGTGTCACCCAAATCAGTAGTGTGAAGGCAAGAAATTTTCACTTCTTCGCATTTTCAGATTTTATGAACACAAGGACATGTTTTGCTAATTCATAGTCTACCAAAAAGTAAAGTTGAAATACCCTAGGACTATACTGATAATTTGTCTTGCTGGTAATGCCATCCTGTGGGTTAAGCAGTAGGGGGTGGGTGTCCAGGAGTTAAATGTATTGTTTTTTCATAGCCCTGTTCCTGTACAGCATGAAGAGTAAACGGCGGAAAGAAAGGGTGATGATGAAACACGTGGAAAAGCTTAGGTACAGCCCAGAATGTGGTTTAAATTTTGTCATGATAAAGTTCCAAGGTTTTCATTGCTACTCAAGAGCCACATCGAGTACAAAAAACAAACGTGTTTTTTTTTTTTTTCACCTGATGGTTAATTTAGAGCTGTTTGCTTTGATGGCCAGCAACTATCAACTACCAGGACTGGAGTGTGCCTCCAGCCATTTATTCCGCTGAATGCCAGGCACTGTTCTCAGTGCCCGGTGTACACAGCAGTTAAGACTGCTCACCCTTCAGTAGGAAGAGGGGGAATACGTGAGCAGCTCGAATGCCATCACCCAGGGCGATGGGGACAGAAACAGCCTTTCATTTGCTCCAGCATTGACTGGGTACCGGTAACACACCGGCTCTTGGCGGCCCGTGGGGAATGAATTTTTACATTCTCAGATAAGCCATTCGCGAGCGCCCAGGTTCGGATTTGGACGAACGCGGCGCCGGGTGGGAGCCAGGCTCCGCGCGGGGTCGCGGGGCTGCGGAGGTGTCGCGAGAGCGGGGGCGGCCCCTTGGCGACGCCGTAGGCCGGGGTGGGCCTGCGCGGTCCTCTGCGGCAGGCGGTTTTGGCGGGCTTGCTTGGGCCGGCAGGGGGCGCGGGATTCGGGGCTCCCGGCAGGCGCGCCGATGGCGTTTCTAAGGTGACGCTGCGCACAGCGACTTGCTCCGAGGGCGGAGGAAACACCTATGATCCCGTCGACGACCTTCATCGTCGGGCGCCAGGTGAGCTGCCGCCGCGGGCTCGCCGTTCCCGCTGGTGCGAGAGGAAAGCAAACTTCGGCGCGCAACGTGCGTTTTGGCCGAACTTGGGCGGTGGGTGAAGGCACGGTTTCTGCTTAAAATTAAAAACAATACTCAGGTCATCGAGGAAAAACGGAGCGTCGCATCCGTTTCTTTACCTGAGTAAAAACTTGATACTCTGCCCAGGCGCCAGGACGAGTGGCGGGGACCAGCAGCCTTCTTAACGATAACTGTGGGCTTGTCTCTAGGCCAGCCACCTCGCTTCACTCTTTTTATTATTATTATTATTAATTTATTTTTTCTCTATTAATTTTTATTTGTTTATTTTTTTTTAATTAGTTTCAGGTGTACAACACAGTGCAATAGTTATACTTTTTACCCCTCAAAGTGACAACCCCCCTTCCCCAATCTCACTTCACTTATACCCCGTTTTTGCTGAGAAGCCTTGAACGGGAACTTGCCCAAGGCTTCCATTTATCCCCACACGATGAGGTGAACTTTTTTTTGTTTGTTCAAAGATTTTATTGGGGAATTGGGGGAGGGGAACAGCGTTGGGGAATTGGCTGAGGGGAACAGACAAGTTGCTGTCCTTTTGTTCTTCAGTCTAGTTGTGGAGGACATCGCTTCACTGGCCCATGTTGGTATTATCATTGCGCTCTTCCCAGGTGAGGCAGATCAGTTGCCGGCTCCTGGACGGCCGCACACGATGGCACTTGGCAGATTACACCAGCTGCCGGCCACTCACGCTGGCTGCCGGCCACACACGGTAGCTCACAGCAGCCCACTGCAGCCTACACCGTCACCAGAGACTCACGGCAGCCCAGCTCCTGGTCGAGCTGTTGTTCACCATCTTAGCTGTAGAGGGTGCAGCGTCACTGGCCCTCATGTGGGATCCGAACCGGGGCCCTGCTGCCCAGAGCTGGTGTTCCAAGCCACCTCTTAACCAACTTGCCACTCGGCCGGCCTGAGATGAACTTTTTTGTATAGTTGGCCTGTTGCCTGTTTCCGATGCTAGAATATGTGCTCCTTCCGGGTGCATGCTTTGTTGTATCCCCCGCCGCTTGGTGATCAGTAAATATTTGTTGAACGAATGAGTGAATGGATGAATGAATGAATGAATGAATGGCTTACCACAGACTGGAATTCAAGTCCTGTGATTCGGAACCCCTTGACTCCAAATTCCATTTTCTGTGTTTAGTTACTAGTGAGTAACTGTCATTCATTCGTTATTATTATTTGCATACAAATCTTATTTTTCAAAAAGCAGGAAGGATGTACACGGGCCTCTGGCGAACTTTAAAATGCTGCCTTTAAGATAGAATTCTTTAAAAGTAACACGTTTAGTTCTTCGTGTCATTGATGGGGACAGTATCATATTTTGAGATGTGGCTTAAAAATCTTAATGCTAACGTTTGTTGAGTGCCTACTATGTGCCAAGTACAGTGACGTGTTTGACAGTTTATCTTGCGTGATCCACACAACTCTTAAGAAGTCACAGTGCTGTTACTACCATTTTACAGGTGAAGGAACTAATGCTTAGAGAAGTTGAGTAATTTGCCCACAGCTATAGAGGCACTAAGTGGCCAATTCTGGATTCACACTTACGTCAGACCAACTTCTCTGCACTAGACTTTCAAATGATGTATACTTGAAAGGAATTATTGTAGATAATTTGGGTAGGTATGAAAATGGCATCATGGTTACATAAAAATGTTCAGTTTTAGGGATGCATACCGCAGTATGGAAGAGTGAAATGCATTTTTAATGAATAACAACAACCAAAAAAGAAAATTGAAACAGATGAGGCAAAATCTTGATAGTGGCAGGACCTGCGTACTGAGCGGATGGGAGTTTATTGTGCTGTTCTCGTGTCTTCTGTGTGTTTGAAATTTTTCCCTTACAAAATCTGTTTCTCAATAATTTGAGTTTGGACCAGTCCCAATATTACATTGTTCTTGGTAGACTGAGTCTATATTGATATGCTAGATGTTATGAGAATTATTTCCATTTAAACAGTAATTATTTCCATGTTTCCCTTTGCTTGATTACTCCAGAATTGCTGGGGCAAGGTGAAGGGTAATATTGTTGATTGACGCAAGGGAGGGTGGACAGCAAAGAAAAAAAATGCAGAATGGGTTTATTTGTGAATAGCAAGTGGAGGTTTCACAGACGGTCCCACTTTTTAAGAGTGGTGTGTGTAATATGGCAGAAAATGACAGAGGCAGAATGCACAGTAGGTGTGAGCTTGTTTTAAATACACGTAATTTTGATGCCACCTTAAAACTGTGAATAAATGTTAATTTACCTTGAGTTGGCAGCAAAAGAAGATATAATTATTTGGAAAATATGCTTTGGCTGATTTGTATTATTGATGAGCTTTGTTTTGATGAGAAACCACTTTCTATGATTAGAACATCGGGTCAGAAGTTGAGATTTCCACCATCGAGAAGCAACGGAAAGAGCTGCAGCTGCTCATTGGAGAGTTAAAAGACCGCGATAAGGAGCTCAATGATATGGTCGCGGTACACCAGAGACAGCTTCTTTCATGGGAAGACGATCGGCAGAAAGTGTTGACTTTGGAAGAGCGCTGCAGCAAATTAGAAGGTCAGAAATGCGTCCCGCAGCGTCTGTGATGCGCGTCTGTGGGCTAACACGTTAAAAGGGTTCATGGGACGGCAGAGAAGGAGGACTATCTCAGCACAGTGCCTGCTGTCCTGGAGTTTAGTTTCATTGAAGATAGGAGGGCTTTATGAACACGCACGAGGTGAATTCAACTCAAGCAAGCCAAGTACTGAAGAGTAGAGAGTGCTGGGTGGAGCTCCCTTAACATGGAGTGTCTAGAGAGAGTCTTTAGGAAATGAGCCTTGAGCTAGAATGCGAATAAAGATGCCATAGGACTAGCCTTTTCTCTTGAACTGACTCAAAGGTTTTAAACTCTTGATACTGAAGTTGATCGTTAAGTACCTAAAACGGTCATCTTTTAAAATCATGGCAGCCTCAAAAATGGCTTGCAAAAATTTTCTTTTGTGTCCTATTTTAATTCTGTCATTCCTTTAGTGCTGCCCTAAAGTCCGAATGTTCGATTGACACTACATTAGTACTGGAACTTATTAGAGGGGCAAACACTAGATCTGTTTAATAGAAAGGTAACCATATAGCACCTTCTTTTTTACTTACATTCCACAAAAAGACCCTGTACACAAGATAGTCTAAATATGCATAATTTTTCCATTTCTTTGAAGCTCATCTGCTTTTGCTCTGACCATACCCCACCCACACATACATGCGCATAAACACACTGTTTACTATGGCTGCACATTAGATGTAATAATATAACATATAAAATCTTTTATATAAATAGGTTCAAGAACAAAGATAACAGATTATATATAGCCATCAGTATCTGGTTTTAAAATAAGCAAGAAACTTGAATAGGCATTTCATGGAAAACTGAATGGCCAATAAGTATATAAGGCTCTCATTCTCATTAGTAATTAGGGAAGTGAAAATTAAAACCATAATGAGATAACAGTTTACACTTACCAGACTGGCAGAAATGATCGGGTATTGGGGAAGGCGTGGAGCCAAGGGAAGGCTCCTTCACTGCCAGTGGGAGCAGTGGTTGGTACAACTCCTTTGGAAAATCACTTCACAGTATCTCGTAAAGCTGAAGATATGCTTATGGCCCAGCAATTCCGGTTCAGTTACACAGGAACGACCTAAGGAGCTTGTTAACATGTACATTCTAATACAGTAGGTCGGGGGCCTGAGAGCCAGCATTTCTAACAAGTTCTCAGGTAGCATCAGTGCTGCTGGTCCAAACCTCATTTGAGTAGCAAGGCTCTAGAGAAACTTGTGCAAAAATGCATCAAGATGCGTGCACAAGAATATTCAGAGCAACATTGTTCACTGTAGCTGCAAACACCCAACTGTAGTGGGAACAACCCAAGTGACCATCAATAGCAGGATGGATAAATGAATGTTGGCGTCATCGTATAGTGGGGTGTTACGTAGCAGGGTCAGTGCACAGACACGGGTTATATACATGAATAAGTCTTAGGACCATAATCCCAAGTGGAAAAAGCAAACAGAATTCATAAGAGTATAATTCCATGTATACAGGGTTCAAATGAAACTATACTTTTAGGGATGTGGTCACAGGTGGTAAAACTATAATAAAAAGCAAGACTATATGGGCCGGGCTTGTGGCTCAGTTGGTTAAGAGCTCGCTCTCTGAGCAACAGCGGTTCAAGTCCCAGCCCGAGCTGAGCTGCCAACAGATGGCAGGATGGCTCAGCTAAAAAAAAAAAAAAAACCACAAAAAAAGCAAGGACATGATTAAGATCAGGATGGTGGTTGGGGGAAATTGGAGAGATTGTGTTTAGGAGGTGACATACAGGAGGCCTCTATTCCTTGAATAGGGGACAGTGTCATACATTTGTAATAAAACTTTGAAAAGAACGATCTTTTTAAAAATTCTTTAGCACACTTCGTTTTTAACCATGTGTTGGAAAATCATGCATTTTAAGCTTCAGATCTGACCACAAATAAGTTGATGAAATTTCCCTCAGGTGAACTGCACAAAAGAACTGAAATCATCAGGTCCCTCACAAAGAAGGTAAAAACCCTTGAGTCTAATCAAACCGAATGCCAAACAGCTCTTCAGAAGACTCAACTACAGCTGCAGGAAATGGCTCAAAAGGCAACCCATTCCTCTCTCCTCTCTGAAGACCTTGAGGTTGGTTTCATTTTGTGATAAGCTTCACTAGCCCAAATTCTGTTTGTGTTTCAGTTATATAAAAATTAGACTTAAGTATTTCCATTAAAAGTGCATGTGTGTGTGTGAAAATATGCCCATCCTCCATCTTTGTAGTTTTGTATTCATTGTTCTGCTTTGCTTAGCTGCACAGAACGTTTTCTAACTGTTTGACTATTTGGTTTAATAGCATCTATCATTTTACCAACAATGGGTCATTTTAGAAAGCCTTTCTCAAAGTCTGAGATTAGTATCATCGAGTTTTGGTAGCTTCAAATGATGCTTTCGAAAGACTTGTGTCTTATCTGATATGATAAATGTTAGTGAAATAGTAGGCATGAAACCTGTAAGACTGATTTTTCAGTTTTCAGTTCTAGCTGGTCAGTCATCGGATATGTTTTCATTCATTTTCTTCTTTCTTGCCAACCTAGAGTTCTACATAAAAGATATTAGGATGTAGACATGTTTATAAACATAACCAATATAATTCACTAGGGCAAACACAAGTGTTAAGAGCATGCGAGAGGTAATAGAGAAATAAATATTTGTATTGCTTTTTGATGACTGCTGACTTAGCCTGCTTTGTCACTAAAAAAGGTTAAGCAAAGAGAAATCAGAAGAGCAAGCACAGATTGTGGCTGGTGATAGTAATGAACGCTTTTAAATGACCCGTAAACTAGGATTTATGTGTTCTTCCCTTGTAGGCTAGAAACGCAAATCTCAGCAACACGTTAGTGGAACTTTCTGCTCAAGTAGGACAGTTACAAGCTCGAGAACAGGCTCTCACTACGATGATAAAGCTAAAGGTAACTTAAAATGATAAAACCTCCATTCGCCAGCGTACTTTGCAGCTTCTGTAGCCACGTGCATTATCTTACTTAAGTCCCATAGCAGCCCAGGTAGGTAGCGCTACCAGCGTTGCGCTCTCTTTCTCTGTTTTTTGGGGTTTTTTTTTAAGTTTTCATTTTAGAAACGAAGGAAACAAGTTTCAAATGATGTCCCCAAGGCACTGGGAGAGGAGGCAGGACTCCACTTTTGGCCTTTGACTCCAAAGCTCCTTTCATGGTCTTGTGTACCCGGATTAACTTGTTTCCTCCTGAGGAATCCACTGTCAGACCACATAAGGTCACTGGCAGTCAGATTGCTTGTTAATGTTTTGGGTTTTTTTAGTGGAGAGAAAAATTGTTAGCACTCAAGCAGCTATATATATATAGTTACCAACATGCCATAAACAGTGATTGATAAACAGTCTCTTCGGCCATAACATACGTGTTTGACAACTGGTGACTAGGGGAATGATGATAGAATATGACACTCACGCTAATTCACACGGGATTTTTCATGTTTTGAAGGGATCAGGGGCCAGCTTTCTTCAAATTAAAGAGAAAACATTAAAAGCTACAGAATTGTCTTTAGCCAAGCGGGAGCAGCTTAGTGGCTTCAACAAGCTCACTGTCTCCATTGTAACAAACTCCCAGGCAAAGCTGTGAGAACTGATGAAGGTGCTGAAAGGACCAGCCGCCGGATGCGTCTGCGTCTGCGTTTGCGTTGTCATTTGCTAAACTCTATTTGTGTGCTTAATAGGACTGCTGGGGGTTTTGCTCTGGGGCTGCCCACAAAGTTCCATCGGCTTCCCTTCTGAATGGTCTGCCCAACCCTTTGTCCCCCGTAAGCCCTCCTAGTGTGAGATGTGCAGACAGTAAGGTTTTTCAAGAACGCACATGGGATACTGTAGCAGAAAGTCTTGTCTTAAGCAGGAGTAAAACCTGCTAATAATCGTTACTCCACGTGTGCGGGGAGGGAGAGAATGTTTACTTACTCTTTATACTCTTAGGTATTGTTTGAAGTGCTTTTTAACAAGCAGATACCTTTTTTTGGTCACTAAAACAATTATCTCAACAGTAAGAGGTTCTGATTTGGGTAGGTTTTGGAGAAAGCCTTCGAGTCTGTCATTGCAACCACCTGAAAAGAAGGGGAGGAAGCGTGGGGGCCTCTGGGATTGATCTGTAATGCAGAGCGGAAGCTCCCTCAAGGGCCACCAGGTTTCCTGTTGCTCTTACGTTCTTAGATTATTGAATTGTCTGGTTCTAAGCTTCCTGAGATGGTCAGCTATGGTGGGCCATGCGTGGTTTCTGGGGCCAGGGGCCAGATTCAAATGGAAGTTCCATCACTAACTAGTTGTGTAACTAGTTGGGCAGTTTACTGTTGGCTCATCTGTAACGTGGGGACAGCAGTAGCGTCTCCCTCAGAGAGTCACTGTGCAGGTTACATGAGTGAACACATGAAAAGTGCTTAGAACGAAACCTGGCACCCAGTGACCCCTTAATAAGTGTCATCTTTTTGTATTGATTAATTGGAGTGTACAAATCTTATATAACAGTTTTCACATTTGGGTTTTAGGACAAAGACATTATCGAGGCAGTCAATCACATTGCAGACTGTTCGGGTAAATTTAAATTGTTGGAGCACGCCCTACGCGATGCCAAGATGGTGGAGACTTGTATTGTGAAAGAAAAGCAAGATTATAAGCAGAAATTGAAGACACTGAAGGTTGAAATCAATAAACTGAAAGGTAAGGAGGAAACATAAATTTAAGCATTTTATCCTGGGAATATATTTCTTCATTTGGGTTCAGTTAATCTTATGATTAAGAGTCGGTCTGTTGCTGACTTTAGGCCATACCTAAATTGTTCACGTGTATAGAATTATGCTGCAATTTTTGTGTTACAAGATAAATAACAGAGTTGGGGAAACTGCAGAATATATAATATATTTTTTTAAATCCTGCATTTGCTGTGCCGGTTAGGTATTGCTAATAACATGGTTTGTAAAAATCAGCAACAATCTCGCAGTGGCATGCAACCATGAGTCTTTGTCACACTCATGTGTCTGGAAGCTAATGGGAATCAAACTGCTCACCTGGGCAGCTCCACTTCATGTGTCTCGTCTCCTCACCGGTAGGCTACACTGAGCATTTCTTCCCACGGGGAAGGCAGGAGCTTAAGAGCAGAAACACATGAGAACCTGACCCACCATCACTTCCTCCTCATTCTATTTGGCCAAAGCAAGTCATGTGGCTCAGTCCAGAGTCTAGCAGTGGAGACATGTCCTCTGCCCCTTTGTGGGACGGCTGCACAGAGGGATGTGGAATTGCCACAACAACACAATCTACCAGAGTGGCTTTTAAGTGCATGTTTTATTTTTTAAATTTCCTTTGCGTTCCCCTTTTCTATTTTCACAGTAACTCCATGGTTCCTTTGTTTCTGAGTAGTATTACTTGAAATTTTATAATGAAATGAAGGCTAGGTATATACCAAATAGGTTAGTGCTACGTACTTGAATATGGGTGTAAGTGATGGAGTGAAGGTTTACATTTGTCTATGAAGCGTATGGAGGTAGCCTGCTTTCCTCTGGCGGTTCCCCCACGATGGGGCAAAGTAAACCGCTTCACTGAGGAGCTATCATTTTGGTCTTAAATCTACACCCATAGCATCACATTTTGTAAATGGGCATCACACCAGACACGAAGACTGACTCCCACTGTGGACTGAGCTCCCTTAGAATGACAGAACCGTGGCCGAGTAGAGAAAAGAAGTTACTCTGCACGCTCCCTCCTTCCTGGGAGTTTCTTGTTGAGGCAGCGAGTTGCTGTTGAAATTGTGCAAGTTTATTGTGGCTGATTTAACTTAAAACGTTCAATCTTGTTCTTATGATGCCCTGACTTGTGGCAAATTGTAGGTTTGCCTCCATTTATAGCTAGCTTCAGCTATAACCATAATCATACTGGAAGACCCTTGGCATCAGGGATAGACTCTTGTCTGCTCTTTTTGGAATTTACAGTCAATAGCATAGCTCCTGGGGTTCATTGTAGGCATTCGATAAATACTTATTGAATGCTATGTATACCTGGGTAAGATACTCAAGTGAAAACTCTGGTTTATCAATATTTATGCTTTATTTTTATAAATTGAACATTTACAAAATTTTAAAAAATGAAAAACAGGGTAATGGATAGTGGCCTAGAGAGTGAGGGAAATAGACTCATTTTTTGGGGGTGGACTGAAATGTCTTTAGAGAGGATGTTTGAGCTGAAACTTGGATGTTAGGAAGAACTAGCCATGTGAAGATCTGGGCCAAGGGTCTGCCAGGCAGAAGGAAAGCACGTGCACGGCGCTAGGGTGGGCGTTGAGGTTGGGACATGTTCAAGGAACAGGACGAAAGAAGAGGGAAAATGACAAGCAGGGCCAGGCCATGCAGGGCTCACGGTAACAAGTTTGGGTTTCATCCTAAATGGAGGGGAGGTCTTCTACAGAGAGGTGATACAAGCAGATTTTCAAAACATTGCCCTGATGACTGCATGGACCACAGGCAAGGTTTCGGCAGGGAGACCAGTTGGCCAGAGGCAGTGAAGCCTTGGCCAGGGTCACTGCTAGAGATGCAGTGACATGTGGGATGTGGGACATATTTGGACTGTAGATTCGATGGGACTTCATATTAATTGGAAGGGGGTGCTGAGGACATTAGAGGTATTCAGAGTGTCTATTTTAGGAACCAGTATTTATTTGAGGGCTTTTTTTTTTTCTCTTCTATTTGTGAAGAGGATCTAAATGAAAAGACAACAGAAAATAATGAACAACGAGAAGAGATCATTCGCCTCAAGCAAGAGAAAAGTTGCCTGCATGATGAATTGGTTTTTACTGGTAAAAACAGATAATTAATTTAAGTGATTAAAGAGTTATATATTTGTAACTTGAACTTTCTATCATAGTAGAAAGTTCCTATGACAGGCTAAAGGAATTCTCTCTCTCCCTCTCTCTCTCTCTCCATATATATATATATATATATAGATAGATAGATAGATAGATAGATAGATATAGATATATATATACACACACACATATATATATATATATACTTTTTATATATATATACTTTTTAACACCCTTGAGGGATGGGGAGGGGCCAGGCAGGGCATTTAAAGCTGTTATCATGCCTCCCTATTAATTGTTCCCGCTTCTGTAAAACAAGAAGCTACCCTCCCAGATGGAGTGCGTAACTATACTTCTCACTAAAAATTCATTAAGAAAGAATCTTATGAATTGAAGAAAGAAGGATGTTTATCCTTTTGCAAATACTATATAAAAATTAGCAACTCAGCATTTTTCCTGTTTTGCAAATAGATTACCTGTAGTTATTACAGTTGGACAAGTACTCATGTGTTTTGTTACATCAGTATGACCCTAAAATAATAATGTTAGGGATGAGTTTTTCATGAGTTAAAAGCAAGTTTATGAGTCAGGTTTAATTTAGGCCCCCTTCTGATGAACATAAAAATTCCATAGCTGCCCTCCCCCTGCCCGGGGCCATATTCTCCCACACTTTATCCCCTCCTGCCCAGCCCTGTATCTTAGAATTTCCACTAGTGAAAGCTGCTCCTTTCACTGGTATATAGATCTTATCTCTATCCCTGCCAGCCAAGAGGATTTTACTGGATTTTGGTAGTTTATATTAGGAAAATCCTAGATTTTGGAGGTAAAGCTCCAAATAGAGATTAAAAGTACATTTTTGGGGCCTAGTCACACCTACCTTCAATGCTTTTCCTTATAGGAAGAGAATACATTTCTATGAGTTATTCTATTCTATTCAGTATTCTATTAACATTTTTTCAAATGAAATGGAATTCTTAATTTGAATCTCATGTATTTAAAGATTGGGGAAATTTGGATTTCTACCACTGGAGGCCACTATTTACATTATTTTTAGGATTGCTGTGTTGCAAAGTAATGTCTCATATTGCTAAAGAGATAGATAGATAGATAGGTAGATAGATAGAAAAAATATATCTTCATTAGTAGCTTCAGAGCTGAATTCAAATAATCTTTGCATCAGCATTTGTGTGCCAGGCACTGTTTTAGGTGCTAAAACTCATAGGCCCAGGGAATTTAGAACTACACACATGCCAGGAATAAAATGCTGTAGGAAGTCAGAGGAAGGAAAAAACATGTAAAGGATCTTCTAACAGTCCCTTTTCTTTTTGATTCACCGATTTTTACTCATATGTCCTATTATGTATTAGTAGGTAAAATATATGGGATTTGTTAGATAATACTGTAATAAATCCATTTGGTGAAATAATTTGGACCGTTTCCTAAGCTGATTTTTTTTCTTTTTTTTTTTTTTGAAGATTTTATTGGGAAATCGGGGAAGGGGAACAGACAAGTTGCTGTCCTTTTGTTCTTCAGTCTAGTTGTGGAGAACGTTGCTTCACTGGCCCATGTTGGTATTATCATTGCGCGCTTCCTGGGTGAGGTAGTCGCTCGCTGGCCATTGGACGGCCACTCACACCAGCTGCCGGCTGCTCATGCTGGCTTCCAGCTACTCATGGTAGCTCACAGAAGCCTACTGCAGCAGGGCTGCAGCCTATGCTGTCGCCGGGGACTCATGGCAGCCCAGCTCCAGGTTGAGCTTTTCACCATTTTAGCTGTAGAGGGTGCAGCATCACTGGCCCTCATGTTGGACCCAAACTGGGGCCCTGCTGCTCAGAGCTGGTGTCCCAACGTACCAGTCGGCTGGCCCACTAAGCTGATTCCTTAAACATCTTTTTTCTCCTTCTGCTGTCTCAAAGCAAGTTTTGTGTGTTTAAATGATAAAAGTGAGTTGAATCTGAAAATGGTATTAATAGGCTTAACATGATAATATGCTGTCAGGTGCTATGGCTAAAAACTAGCACATTGTGTTTGAATTTGGAAGTTGTCTTAAAAATGTGCTTCTAAGTTCAGAACTTGATTTCCTCTTGTTGACGACGAAGTTCTCACATAGGCTTAGGGACACGTTTCATTGGTCCATATTGCTCATGAGAAGTTTGCAAATGAAGCGACGACACTAGTTTATGGTTCTGTGGTCCTGACCCTCCTGTAAACGTAGCCCCCTTGAGACTGTGTGACTTGCCTGAGGTCTCCCAGTCAGTCAAAGAGTTGGGCAGGATCTGGACTCCCAGAGCCCTTCGCACCGTGCTCTGTCTCAGGCTGCTTGCTTAGGGAGGGTGGTATTGGCAGAGGTCCGTGCCTCTTTGTCTTCCATGACACTCCACTTTGTTCTCTCAGCTAAACCTAGCCATGTAGAAAAGTGCTCTAGGGACATGTTCATATTTACAGCGGAGTTTCCTCTTATGCGACAGTAGATGGTTCTAAAGTCAGAGATTAAGGCAGAGCTCAAATATATTTGAAATTACTCTTGAACACCAGATAAAGGGGTTGGCTTTTGTGTCGGGACCATGCTGTATCCAAAACAATTACATCTAAACTCTAGGAATACAGCCAGCATGTCATGATGCCGTTAGCATAAGAGGCGCGAGGAACCGAGACCAGCTGGCAGTCACAGATGCACCGTCGGCGTCACTTCCACAGCTAAAGTAGCCGCACTTCCTTTTCTATTTTTTCTTTGTGCACGTAATTGAATTCACATCAACTGAATGCAGTTCCACATAAATAATGCAAGTCCACAACATAGATATGCTTTTATTATGGTGTTGACTCATCTAATGCAAAAAAAATAATAAATTGAATTTATTATAAATTGAATAATAAAATAGAATTGAATGCAAAAGATGTCATAGTTTAAACGTGGTGCCAGGGTTTCACTGTGCTTTTGGTCACATTTCTCAGTTTTGTGTGCAGGGATTACCTTTCAAGTAAAATGATGCTACAGACCCACGTTGGGAGGGCTGAGCATGAAGCGTGCTTCGTGTGTGTGTGTGTGTGTGTGTGTGTGTGTGTGTGTGTGTGGTTTGCACAGACCCCTCTCACTCTTTACCTGGCCCCCGGAGGCCCCCAACAGACACTGCAGTCCACAGCAAAGCATATGTCTTTGTTCTTAGGTAATTTTTCTGATGTTCCAAATGGAAAGGGATGATAATGAATATCTTTATTCTTTTTCATCCATGACAAAAATGACATGTGAAAAAGGTATTTTCTGAAAAAAACCATCGATATAAGTTGTGAATTTTGATTTAGATCGCATCAGATTTACTTAAAAGCCATTCATGTAATTAGAAGGTCATTTTACACATTCAGTTTGAACTTCTAGAGATCCTGAGGATTTTTTTGTTTTTGTTTTACAATGAAAACATTTTATGTTTAGAATGAGCCAGCTGGACTCAGTTTAGATGATCCCAATTATGTTGGCAACATCCAAAGCATCATAGTCAGGAGCCGGTTGAACATATGCCTTCTCTCTCCATCAGGCCTGATCAGGGTGCTGACCTTGGCCGCGTCAATGTCATAGAGCCTCTTCCCAGCCCGTTTGCTCTGATGCTTGTTGGCCTTGCCATCCACAGAGAACACAGTGTGTGGTTGTCTTCTCTCTTCTTCATGGCTGACTGGTAATCATGGGGGACTGGATGATGGCACAGTGGTCAAGCTTGTATCACCTGGGGGACTCTTCCCAGGCTATCTGGGCTGCCTTCTAGCTGCAGTGTCTTGGGCCCTCGGAAGGTGGGTGAGGTGCAGATCTTTTTATTGTGACTGTGGACGCCTTTCAGCTCTGCTTTCTTTGCTTTTAGAACCTTGGCGTTGGCTTCGGCTGGGGCTTCCTTCTTCACTTTCGGCGCCATTAAAGATACTGAGTTTTTGGGCTGGCCGAGTGGCGCGATGGTTGAGAGTTGGCTTGGGATGCCAGAGGGCCCTGGTTCGGATCCCACATATGAGGGCCAGTGACGCTGCCCTCCACAGCTAAGATGCTGAGCAGCAGCTTGACCTGGAGCTGGGCTGCCGTGAAATGCCTGCGATGGCGTAGGCTGCAGCCCCTGCTGAAGTGGGTTGCCGTGGACTACCGTGTGTAGCCAGCAGCCAGGGTGAGCGGCCGTCCAGAAGCCGGCGACTGATCTGCCTCGCCCGGGAAGAGTGCAATGATAATACCAACATGGGCCAGTGAAGCAATGTCCTCCACAACTAGACTGAAGAACAAAAGGACAGCAACTTGTCTGTTCCCCTTCCCCCAATTCCCCAGCGCTGTTCCTAGCCCCCAATTCCCCAATAAAAATCTTTAAAAAACAAACCAAAAAAAAACAAACAAAAAAACATATACATGAAATATGATCCTTGAGTTGATACAATTTTGAATCCCTTTTTGACTTAGCATTAAATATATTACAAAAGTTTTCAAATTTGATGAAGGATCTAATCAGGCTGACGTATTAGAGCTCTTCCCAGCTATCCATTTTGTAATTTTTAAATTCCGGAATGAGGTGAAAAAAATGTTAGCTGAGCATTAAATTGATGAAAATGAAGGTTTGTGTTGATTTGGCTGATGAAAAATATTTTGACATTTGTTATTTAATAGCAGAGAGAGAAAAAAGGAAAGATGAGCTACTTGATATTGCAAAGTCAAAGCAAGAACGTATAAACGCAGAACTGCATAATCTGAGACAGGTATGTCCTCAGTTATACTTCTTGTACTGTCAGGTGGGAAACGTTTATAAGCAAACATCAAATTAGGAAAAGTGTGTGTCTGTTGATGTTGTGTATGGTGCTTTTGGAATCCTAACTACATTAATGTGTATCATATTTAGCTTAGCAGATAGACTCTTGTTTATGGAGACTAGTTACACTAACAAATCTCAGTGCTGACATAGGAAAACATAAAAGCCAAAATGTATAACGTATTTCTCTAGTCACTATCTGATCTGACTGTTTTAGTGTTTAAAGGTGCCAAATTGTTGGCTCAATTTAGTTTTATTGTCACATCTTATATTGATTTATCAATATCTATGGCAGATTTATGTAAAACAACAGAGTGATCTGCAGTTTCTGAATTTCAATGTGGAAAATTCTCAGGAATTAATACAGATATATGACTCAAAGATGGAGGAATCAAAGGCCCTGGAATCCAGGTAACCTTAGGAAGATGCTATTAATAGGATCTTGTATTGTATTCCATCATTCAATCAATATTTGTGAAGTGCTTGCTATGCGCCAGTACCCACAAGTATTCCCTAGATAGTAGGGAACGAATACGAGTATATGTGAGCTAACGGTCATAACCCCAGGTTGTGGCGAGACCTGAGTTTAGCAGTTCAGGCATGCTCCTGAAGTAGCCACTTGATAAAAGAAATTCATTAAACTTTATTTGTGAGTCTGTTGTGTAGAAGGCTGAGCTACAGTGGAAACTACAGAGTTGCATCATTCATTCGTTCATTCATTCGTTCATCTCTCACAATGTTATAGTCACTGAGCTAGGAATAGGGAAAATAAAGATACATAGGACAGGGTGCTCGCCTAAAAGAAGTAATACCAAAGAATGGTGCGCATGCCACAGTAGGAGCTCAGCTCGCTGAGAATGAGCTCTGCTCTTGATTTTCCTGTTTTCCTTGTTAATGGAAGGAGACCCCGTCCATCACCTATAACAAGCAGTGTGTGAATGAAATGGGTTTCTGTAAAATTAAAACAGAAATATAGGAGGTGTGGTTTAATTGAACAGGCACATAACTGTCCCACTTTTCAGCCTACTTTTCCAAGGCGCTGTGAAAAGGAGCAGGCTTAGGGAACTTCCCCACCACTGCCCACATCGACAGCAGCTCCTTGCCTGCTCGCTAGTGGTTGCAAGAATGGGGTGACTGCAGACTCTGCGCTTTTCTCCTGAGGCCTCCTGCTGGAGGCTGTTGAACAGGGCTCTGTACCCCAGCCGCGGCTCGTGCTAATGAGTACCAAGCCAACTCAGGGCTCCTTGCAGGCCAAGGCCCCAAACATACAGGCTCTTTTTCCTTTGTTGACGAAAGAAACGTCCAAACCTGTAGAGAATTTTTATGAATTTATTTGAGCCAAACTGACGACATCTGCCAGGGAGCAAGATCTCAGATGCTCCCGAGAATGGCACTTTTGCAGCTTCTTTTATATGTTATTTAGAATCAAAGGAGAAAGATGTAAGGTATGTGCATGAAATCCATTGGTGGTCAATTAGGGAGGCGGGAGAACACAAAGGGTTGGATAAAAGGCAAAATGAAGAAACATTCCTTTCACATGGGTAGGCAGAGGGGAGTTAATAATTAACATTTCCAGCGCACAGAGGTGGTGTGCGGGGAGCAAGATAACGGGAGGGTTCTCTGATCTCGTGCTCTCGTGGTCTTGTGCTCTGGTGCCAGCGAGCGGCTGTGCCATCGAGGAGTAGGAACAGAAAATTGCTCTGACACATCAAAGGTACATTGTCCTAGATGTGTAAGAACATTGGACAGGGCTCACTTAAGGCAGACATTGTCCTTCACTAAGGAAGCTGTAGGCCTGGGATGTGACTTTCCGCTGTGACCTGCCCAGTTAGGAAACTGTGATCAGACCGTTCTGTGTGGTCCCTTTCGGTCACTGAGCTTGTCAGGCCTGCCATGTGGCCCCCCCTGAGCTTATCAGGTTTATTACATAGCCCCTTTCTCGTCCACACCTTTTGTACTTCATTTCCACTGGGAGATGCCTGGGCCAGAGGGTTGAGGGGATTCTTTAAGAGCATAAAATGGCTCGTACCATTCTAGAAGGAGGGGAGTGGGTTTTCCGAGGGATCAGAACTATACAGATCAGAATACCTGGATCAATGTGCCATGAAAAACTTGAAAAGACAGTTTATTAAAAGGCTTATCACATTTATGTAGTGGTCTTAATTTTTATTTTATGCGCATGTGTCATTTTTACTTCAGACCAGCTTTCAATATTCAGCCACGTACGTATCCAGAAAAATGGGATGGTCATTAACACGTTTGGCATTTTCCACTTTATCTTTGTGCCTTGAATCTCCATCGCCTTTCAACCCTAACTTGACCGTGAAACTGATAGAATTAGGAAGAGAAATACCAGATCAATCAACAAGTGTTCACGGAACACTTAATGTATGTTAAAGTCTGTCCTAGGTGCCGGAAGGATTAAAAAATGGCCTCCTCTTATAAAAGTCTATTGAGAAGACAGGATATGTGCATGAAACAGTGAACAGTATGGTTATAATAGGAAATTTGCTGCATGGTTACCGTATTTCCCCATGTATAAGACACACCTTTTCCCAAAAAATTTGGGGTCTAAAAACTGGGTGCGTCTTATACAGTGGTTGTATGAATGCCAAAACAAGTGTGAAAAAAGCAAGAAATGCAAGTAAAAAAAAAAATCTACAACCACTCTATAAGACGCACCCAGTTTTTAGACCCCAAATTTTTCGAAAAAGGGTGCATCTTATACATGGGGAAATACGGTTAATTAGATACTATATACAGTCAGATAATGATTTGCAATAGACACTAGATACAGTGGGAGTTAAGGATGGGAAGGGGAAGGTGAGTGTGTGGGCGTGGTGGTCAGAAAAACCTCCCTGAGGAGGTCAGGCTGAAATTGGGCTCCGAAGAAAGAAGAAATAGTTTTACATTTCATTTCAAACAAATATGTGTTATTAGGATTTAGCTCAACGAATGAGGCTTGGGTGAACTATTTAGAATAACAGTACCAAGTGTATCTTCTAATTTCCCTTTTTTTGTAATGCCACCCTAGCAGAGACCTGTATTTATCAGACCTTGAAAATGACTACCCCAAAGTCGATATTAAGAGGGAGAAAAACCTGAAGTCACTGGTAAAGGACCAAAAATTTGAGACCATGTTGGTTCAGCAAAATTGGGCCGACAAGAGCTCTTGTGATGTGTGCAGAGAGAAGAAGCTACAGGTTAATACTTCGTTTGGGGAGAAAAGTGTAATTGCTGTCTCATCTCTGTGTATGAAAGACTTAATGGAGAACCAGAAGTCCTGGTCTTTGGGAGGAAAACTGCAGATGGAACCCGAAAACAAAAGTACATTGTGCAGCATTCATGGAAAATCACCAAAAGGTAATGGGATTGGGATTCAGAACGAAGAGAAACAGCTCTCGGAAACCACAGCTTTGTCGGATGAAAAGCAGTGGCACGATGTCAATGTTTACCTGGGCCTGAGCAACTGCTCTGGTTCAAAACAACCAGAAAAGCTGGACGTTGAATGTCAAGATCACGTGGGAAGATCTGGAGTCTCGTGTTGCCATAAAAATGAAGGCTGTCTGGGGGAAAGCCACCTGTGTGAATCGCAGTGTTGCCAGCCGAGTAACTTCATCATCGAGGCCCCAGGCCAGATGTCTGACTTCGAGTGGATGAGCATTTTCAAGCCTTCTAAACTGCAGAGAGTCGTTCGCCACAAGTCGGTGTGCACTTGTTCAGAAAGCACCAGTGGCACGAAATACAACTCCATGAGGTTGGTGATGTCGCACATTTGCAAACCGCCAGGGAGCCCACAGACAGTGTTCAGAAATAGAAAGGGATGCTGTAGCCACTTCGCGTTTGCGGACAGAAGTGGTACTTGAGACAGCACGTTTCCTCTTTCCGTCGCAGCATACATAGGCTGTTGAGTTTTTGATTGCAGAGAGACTGTCTTAGATCCCAAGGAGAGGTTTGTACCTAGGGCAGCTTCGGGGGCAAAGCTTTTGCTTAAAAACAAAGCCAGTTGTCCTGAGTTGGGCAAATACGTGTTCTTTAAAAACAAACAGGTGGGTCACTTTACAGAGTAGAATGCTGCTCCGGGGCATTCTTCGCCCTGGGCTTGGTTGGAATTGATAAGCTGTCTCTGTGTGTGCAGGCTATGACCTAGGCCCCATGAGAATGTCTTCTCTCACTTAGCCTGGGTCGCCCCACACACTCACCTGTCCAGCTGCTGCTGCCTTTGTGATCACCCTGTATCCCCCCCCCCCAAACTTCCTTACTTTTCAAAATCATGCAGGAGAAAGCATATTTATATTTGACAAGCTGGTAAAAGTTATTGGTTTTTTTTTTTTTTTAAGAGCAGAGAATGGATTAGTTCTTAGCGTGCACTGCATTGTTCAGGCTCATCTTATTGCTAGAATGGCTGAATTTTGTGGTTGAGTGGCGCTCTAATGTCTGCTATTTTTAAATAAAACCAGCTCTTCAATCTTACAGAAAGGATGAAGTTTCTATATTGATTGAGCCCGTAGGACTGGAAGATTAACATCTTTTTCTGGTATTTACATTGTTTGGATTGCCTCTGGCCCTTTGAGAAGCCCTGGGTCATTTAAAAATCATACAGGTAGTTACTCATACAGTTAGTTGCAGAAAGAAAGAAAAAAATGGGTTGTCTCGCTGAATGCTACGTCTTCATACTTGGTTTTTAAAGATCTTTGGATAATTGTAACAACCGGGAGGGCATAACTGATATACTTCACTGCTGAACCAGAGTACACATGCATTAAGGGAAAAGCTTGTGTCTGTTTTAAGAGCATAGTGGATGTATATGAAATGTAATGTAAGAAATCCAAATTTAAATTTAGAGTTTGCTTTCAAGATCGTTTTTACCTGTCTGGCTTGAAATAAAGTGGCTCCCTGTTCTGCCAGTGGAGGCACCGGCTGAAGCATCTCATGACAAGTACATGATTAAGGAGGAAAGACAATTCTGTTTTCCTGTTTTCCCTTGGATTATAAGAACTTGGGTGCCTAACTTTATTGTCTGACTAAAGTGTTCACACAGTTTCCCACCATTCCATTTGACAAACAGAGGGTTAGCCGTGGCGGGAGACGTGGTGGCAGCCTGCTGTCACTTAGCTATAGGTGACACGGCAGGAGGGCCCAGTGCCTCCTGTCTGTTGCAGGGCAGCTTTCGCTGTTAACTTTGAGCTCTAGCTTTGAGCCCCAGCTTTAATAACATACTCAGGAGCTTAGTTAGCTTCACGTGTGTGTTCTCTAATATGGAGAAACTCTTCAATCAATAAGCCACAGCTGTGCCATTCTACTCACAAAAGGGCCTTTAAACCATTAACACAAAATCAGTTTTACAAACCAAAAACCTAAAAAATCTTCACAAATTCTACTATGTTAATTTCTTTCTCCCTTTTGGATGATCTTGTCTCTCAAACCTTTTTTGTTTTTTGTGGGGTTTGTTGTTTTTTTGGAGGAGGAGGGATATTATTATAGTAACCCTTTAAGAATTTTGTTTTAAGTCTTATTGCAAAGGGTATGCATTAATTTATAACATTGTCCTCAAATGTTCTATAATGTTCTACTCGAACCTGAGCTGCTTCATTCAAAAAGAAAAACAACTTCTTCTGTGTCCTGTTGAGATAGTTTTAAGTATAAGAGTATCGTTGATACGTGTTTGATGGTGTTTTAAGAGGTGCATGTTTGTTTGGTTTTGTTATTCACAGTGAGCTGATTGCCATCCAGCATTCCCACTGTTTGGGGTCTTCAAAACCTGCCTTGAGAGAGGGTGAGAAGTTGGTGGACACAGAGTCCTCTTCTGATAAAAAGAACTCATCGAAGTTTCTGTCAGTCAACAAAGATGCAGCATTGCCCACTGAAAAGGTTTGTATTTTACTTAGAAATACCCAGCTTATTCCAGCAAAACTTCTCCCCAACATGCTTTGCATTTTTCTAGGACACTTTTTTAGCGTGCTTAATTTTGGCCATTCTTTAGGTGTTTTGTGTGTGTGTGTGTGTGTGTGTGTGTGTGTGTGTGTGTGTGTTTACCTTTATTGGGGAACAGTGTGTTTTTCCAGGACCCATCAGCTCCAAGTCAAGTCATTGTTTTCGATCTACTGGGTTGTCAGAAAAGTCATGATGCATTTTTGCAACGAAAAACAGAGGAAAAAATACATCATGACTTTCCTGACAGCCCAATAGTTGTGGAGGGCACAGCTCACTGGCTCATGTGGGAATCAAACCTGCAACCTTGGTGTTATGAGCCTGTACTCTAACCACCTGAGCTAACCGGCCACCCCATTCTTTAGGTTTTTTTTTAAGTTATAGGACTTTATAAATATCCTACAGATTATCTTTAGGCAAGATGTCCCTCAGGCTCTTTAGGCGATTAATATGTCTATTTTTAATTAATAAACATTTCAAACAGCCAAAAAAATCCAGACTATAACAAGCAGTTGTGCACCTACATTCAGATTTAACATGTTTGCATTTTGCCACATTTGCTTTATTTTTCTTGTTAAAGAGATAAAATGTTACCGATAAGGTATACACCCCATATGCCATTCTCCCCATGGCCACTTCCCCACTATTCCGAAATTGCTTCCATGCCTGTTTTTATACTTTCACTACATAAAGGTATATACTTAAACATGATGTAATGTTCTCTGTGTGTTTAATATGTCCATAAATGGTAAAACACTGTCGGTATCCTTTTGCAATCTGACATTCCAACTTTGTCAATATTTTGTAACATTTATCCATGCTGACACTTGTAGTCTCTTCCTTCTGACTGTTGATTGATGTGTAATGTGTTGATCGAATAAACCATAGTTGGTCCACACCCCTACTGACGGCAGTGAGGTTGTTTCTACACTGTCACTATTGTGGACGAGCCAGAGTCGTCGTCATAAATGAGGCAGTCCTTTCAACAAAGGAAATAAGTTCAAGTCCACTTAGTTCCTTTTGATGTTATTTTGGGAAGATATCTGGCTTTGAAATCAAACTGGTCTGGCTTCAGATCCCTATTTTGCTTTGTTTTAGCTCAGTGACCTTAGTAAAGTTATTTAATATCTTTGAGCTTCAAAAGTTTCTCCATCTGCAAACATGCAATAATAACATCACAGTTGCTTGGTCTAAATAAGATACTGTCAGGCCTGGCCCCTAGTGGGTATCTGATGAGTGTTAGTTCTTTTTTGTTAAAACTTGACTAGACTAAGAGTTACCTAGAGCCTGAAGCAGTTGGGCTTTGATTCCCTGATGGTGGGAACGTAAATGGTATGACCATTTTGGAAAACACTTTGGTAGTTTCTTAAAAAGCTAAATATACACCTACCATATGACCCAGCAATTTCACTCCCAGAGAAATGGAAACACGGGCCCACACAAAGACTTGAACATGAATATTTAAGCAGCTTAATTTGTAATAGCTAAAAAAACTGGAAACCACCAAAATATACATTAGTAGGTGAACAGATAAATTGTGGTATATCTGTACAGTAGTGGAGTACTTCTCAGCAATAAGAAGAAATGAACTATTTATACACACACACAACATGGGTGAATGTGAAGGTAATTATACGGAATGAAAGAAGCCAGACAGACAAAAGTACGAATGTGTTTGCATAAAATTCTAGAAGATGCAAACTAATCTCTGGTGACAGAAAGCAAATCGTAGTTGCCTGGGATTGGGGGGGCGGGACTCACAGGGGCAGGGGTTCCCAAGGGGCACAGGTGTGACTGCGATCTAGTCATGTGGGGATGGGTTCATGGGTGTGTGCATATGTCAGAACTCATTGGGCCACACACTTTAATTGCCCATTTAATTGTATGTCAGTTGCACCTTAACGCCATGAATTTTTTTAAAGCTATAAATATGAGGGGAAATATTAGCTATTCCCTTTTTTAGCTCTTGGGAGACCCTTTTTTAATGTTTGCACCTATTTTTCTGAGGCAGTATATGACACTGCATGCCTATATTGTCTACGCGTATGTGTATATGTATTTGTGTGTGTGTGTGTGTGTGTGTGTGTGTGTGTGTGTGTGTGTGTGTAGTCTGCATATATTCATTAGCAGATATTTAGTAAACATTTTCTAGATCCAGGTCAGGATTGATCATTGTTCATGGAAATTTAGAAATCAACTTTCTTAATGAAAAAATGAGCTGGGATGCTTTTGGGAGTAGTTGGCCTGCTAAGATCCCAAAGTTGAAAATTAACTGATAAACTAACACACATTTCCACATATTTAGTGTTACAAGTTGCATTTTGCAAGTATTCTGACATGCCTATTAGGGCTTTGACAAGTTGATTTAGGATAGCTAAACAATGCTTAGGATTCTTTTGTCACATGGATGTTACTTAACTAATTGTAGACAGTTCTGTTTAAGTCAAATTTTTGAGCCAAGGAGGTTGGAATGAATACCGTATTTTGCCGTGTATAATGCACACCCTCGTTTTTGGCCCAAACTTTCAGGGGAAAAAAATCATTTTAATTTTTTAATTCAAATTTTTATTTGTTTACATTTAGGTACTTGGTTTTTTTGTATTATAAAGGATTTTTAGCATTTATTTTTCAACATATTATGGTACAAGAAATGTTATGTAACAAATAATTAAAAACACAAGAACAGATACAAAGTACAAGAGATTTTATTTACCAGTAACAAATTGACAATATTTATGCATCATAGAGAAGGCCAAGAACTCTTCGTTGTCTTGCAAGTTCGTTGTAAGTAACAAAACTGATCATCATATTCCAGGGTATTATTTTGCATACGGATATCGTTATTGATTTCTAGAGTTACACTTTTAACTCATAAGCATAAATAAAAGAATTAAAAACATTTATATAGACATGGAATTAGCTCTACCCATGCATAATGCACATCCTTATTTTTCCCTCACGAATTTGGGCAAAAAAGTGCTCCTTATACAAGGCAAAATATTGTAAATGGAATTTGGTTATTATTCTAGTATTTAATGTCCTGCTTTGATATGTAATAACATAAAGTCAAAGAAATATTAGCGAATAGTTAACATTTGTGTTGGTTACATCGTATTTGCAAACATAAACATTTAAAAATGCTTCTTGATTTCATGAATGCTTCAATTGTGTTATGTTCCCAGGATGAATTTTCCCCCACAAGTAAGCTCCAGCGATTGCTGGCCGAGTCTCGTCAGATGGTGACGGATCTGGAGCTGAGTACCCTGCTCCCAGTCAGCTCTGAGAATCTCAACAGCAGTGCCAAAAATGTAAGTGGCTGCTTTCCTTTTGACCCCATCCGCAGTATCTGAATACTCCCCTGAGGTCCCATGGGCCAGTGTCACTGGTCGGGCAGCCCTTCTATTCAAATGCAAGTTCTCTGTGTCTCTGAGGGAGGGGGTAGCACACTGGTTTCAGAGAGGAAAAGTCATACTCAAATGTCACTGCACCCAAACTTCCTCTTTCTAATTACCTGGGCATAGGAATATAAATTCTTGGGGATTTTTTTTATTTTTATTTTTTTTAAGCTGAGCCATCCTGCCACCAGTTGGCAGCTCAGTGGCTGCTCAGCTCCGGCCGGGAATCAAACTGCTGTTGCTCAGAGCTCAAACTCTTGAGCAAGATCTTATCCAACTGAGCCACTTGGCCAGCCCCCTAAATTCTTGGGTATTTAAAACAAACATTTTATTATAGAAAATTTCAAATACACACAGAAGTAGAACGAATACTACAGTCACAGACCTTTAACAACCATCAACTTTCTGCCATTTTACTTTATTTTTTTATTTTTATTGGGGAACAGCCATGGTCACTGGTTACACATTGCTTTCATGCTACCATGGCATAGTTGACTCTTTTAGGCAGGGCGCAACTCACAGTGGCCCATGCGCAGATTGAATCAGCAACCTTGGTGTTATCAGCACCACGCTCTAACCAACTGAGCTAACCCATCACCCCCAACTTTCTGCCATTTTTGTTTTGTCTTCCCCCATCCTTACACGTTTTCTTCTGAAGCATTTTAAAGTAAATCCTAGACATCATACCATTTTAATCATAATTACTTTAGTATGTATCTCTAACAGGTTAGGGCTTTTTAAGAAGAAGCGTAACATTATCGCACCCAACCAAATTAATAATAATTCTGAGATACCATCTCATGACTAAACCATATTAAGTTTTCCCAATTTATCTCAAAAATGTCTTCCTGGTCTTTGTTCTGATCCATATTCAACCAGGGTTCATACTTCGCATCTGGATATGTTGTCCTTTCAGGTCTCTCTTAACCACCAACAGTTTCTTCTCCCTCCCTCTTCCTCCTCTTCCTCCTTCCTCTTCCATCTTCTCCATTTTATTTTTTGTTCCTAATGCCTTTTATTTGTGGAAGAAATGTTGGGCCATTTGTCCTGTAGAATTTCTCACATTCTGGATCTTGCTGACTGGATCCTCACTGTTATTTAACATTCCTCTACCCCCATAGCTCCTAGAAGCTGGTATTTAGATGCAGCTAGATCAGTTTGGGTTTTTTTGTTTGTGTTGGCATGACTGCTTCACTGGTGATGCTGTCGGCTGTCTGTTCCATCTTTGCAGGAGGGTCCTAATGTCTGGTCTTCCCACGTGTGATGTTAAGCTTGATTAGGAAGGAGTTCAGGAGTTTGTCAGCTTGAGCTTTAATTTTATGAAGTTCCCCTACAGGTCCCTTAATGATTTTAGCATTCCTCGATCATTATTAGTCAGATCTATTATTTATTTATTTATTTATTTATAGAAACTTTATTGGGGAACAGTATGTTTTTCCAGGACCCATCAGCTCCAAGTCAAGTAGTTGTTTCAGTCTAGTTGTGGAGGGCACATCTCAGTGGTCCATGTGGGAATCGAACTGGCAACCTTGGTGTTATGAGCACTGTGCTCTAACCACCTGAGCCACCCGGCCGGCCCTGGGCAGAGATTTTTAATCAAAGTTTGTGGAATAGAATTCAGGCAATCCATAAATTCTGATGGGCATAAAAGTTACACATAAATTTATTTTTATTAACCTCTAATTGAAAATTTAGCACTTCTTTCAATTATGAATATAGAAAACAAGCCACAGTAGACCATAGTACTTGTGACTTTGTCACTAGTAGTGATCACAGATAGTTTCATATCACATCACAGTTATTGCAGATAATACTACCTCGAAATTTTTACTTAGCATTACCTCAGAATTACAGAATATTAGACCTGTTGCGAGATCTTATTTAATGCATTAATAAAGAAGAGTATGGGCCCAGCCGAGTGGCTCAATTGGTTAAGAGTGCGAGCTCTGAGCAACAGGATCGCCAGTTTGATTCCCACATGGGCCAGTGAGCTGCACCCGAGCTGAACTGCCAACAGGTGGCAGGACGGCTCAGCTGGTGAGAGCATGTGCTCCTAACAATAAGGTTGCCGGTTTGACTCCTGCATGGGATGGTGGGCGGCCGCGAGCTGCCCATGGGCGGCCAAATGGCGACTGGACTTGGAACTGAACTAGCTACGCCCTCCACAACAAAGAATAAAGGACAACAACTTGGCTCTCCCCCTTCCCCAATACTGTTCCCCTTCCCCAATAAATTCTTTAAAATAAATAAATAAAAATAAAGACGAGTATGTATTATTATATCACAACCTGTTCAATATTCTGATAACCACAGTTACTTCTGTTGTAATATTAATACAGCATACACCTGGATTCCTAAAACTCACCACGCAATGCAAAATTGCACGATAAAAACCACATGGCTTACAGGAAAAATGGGGCCAGGAGCGTAACACTCAAAACTTTGTCAGTGATACGTTGTTGTTTTTTAAAAGAAGATAGGAATGTAATCAAAATTATGGCTCGGTCCAGCTGGGTACAGTTCACCTAGTGTTTCTCGTGGACAAAATCGCGTGGAAACAAATGCAAACTTCACATTATGCTCAAATTGTTCCCTAATATATCTGATGTGTTGGAACAAATTCACGTTTTCAAAACAAGTGTCAGCAGAGCTGTAAGAGAGAGGATCACACTCACCGTCCTGGCCTTGGGCTTTTCTCTTAACCTCTTCTTTAGGGTTTTATGTCAAATTCCTATCTAAGATATAATCCACAGCTCCCTCACTTTTGTCCTCAGAGCACAGCTGCGTGTATGTGTGTGTATGTATCACTATCAGAGCTCAGACAACAGCACGTGGTAACTGGTTGTGTTCCAGTCTCCCTTCTCCTCTTTGAGCCCCTTAAGGAGCCCCCCTAACTCATCGTGGCATCCCCAGTTGTAGCACCCACAGTCCCCCCCCCCCAGAGGATGGAACTGATAGGAAAAGGGAACTAAAGAGGCAAAACAGTGACCTCGGTTACAGATGGAAAAAAATGCTAAAGCTGTTGGAGGCTGGTGAAAACTTGGCTTAAGAGAATTTTTGAGGGTCGGCCGAGTGGCTCAGGTGGTTAAGAGCGCGAGCTCTGAGCCAACAGGGTTGCCGGTTCGATTCCCACATGGGCCAGTGAACTGCGCCCGAGCTCCTAACAACAAGGTTTCTGGTTCGACTCCCGCATGGGATGGTGGGCTACACCCACCTGCAACTAAGATTGAACATGGCACCTTGAGCTGAGCTGCCGACCGGCGGCCAGATGGTGACTGGACTTGGAGCTGAGTTAGCTGCGCTCTCCACAACTAAGACTGAAGAACAACAACTTGGCTGTTCCCCTTCCCCAATTCCCCAATAAAATCTTTAAAAAAGAGAATTTTTGAGCTCAAAAGACTCAGAAGAGAGATCTAATCTCAACCTTTTATTTTACAGGTGAGGAAAGTGATCAAATCTCTTGCTTACTATCCCAAAGCTAGAATCAGATCATCATTTAGTTGGGAAAAATATTGGCTTCTGATGTAATGTATTTTCCAGTAGATTAAGTGATTCTGGAGATGTTGGGAAAAGCACAGAAATCCACTTGGCAGTGCCCTTCACACACACACACACACACACACACACACAGAGACACACACACACCCCATCCTTTGCACTAGGTATAGCTAGTTACAGAAAGGAACGTCATTTTGTAAAAAATTCTTAATTTTTGCAATAAGGAAGCAGAGTAAAGTTCTGAGCAGCCTCCCTGCTTCACCGAGGTTTTGCCATCTGTTGCTAAGGGCAAGGGTCTTATTTCAAAACCTTTCTCTGAAACAGGCATTCCCCTACATTGTTGGGGGGCAGGGGGCCACAAAGTGATTCAATCCTTCTTTCAGGGAACCTGGCGATGTTTCCCAAAAATTGTATGCAAACTGATCCTTTGACGTAGCAGTGTCACTTGGGGACTCTCTCCTACAGCTACATCTGCATGTGTGTCAAATAAGTTTTTCATTGCAGCGTGGCTCTATAATAGCAAGAATTAGGAGACAGCCCAAGTGTCCCGCAAAGAGGAACTGAGTGCATAGAGGTGGCACGTCCACAAGCTGGGACATTACCTAGCTGTGCGACAGAACGAGGAAGTGTTTCCAAGGTGTATTATTAAGGGAAAAGAAGCAAGATACTGAAAGGTTCTTGTAGTATTCTACATGTATACGAAAGGGGATGAGGATAAGATTATATATTATTTTTATTTTCAAACCATGTCAGTGTATTAACTATTGAAAAAAAAAAACCACAATAATGTAAAAATAGTGAAAAAAAGGAAAAGAGAGTAGAACCTAGCCTAGCAGACCCCATCACCTTTCCCCACAGCAGGAAGGGGGAAGGGACTCAGCCTGAAACTGAACTTGGAGTTTTGACTGGTACCTGGTACTTGGATGTCCTGGTTACTGGTTTGAGACTGTCGCTATTTCCTGACAGGGTCCTTCACCTCTTTTTGTGGCATGTTGGTAAAGCCTATGGATCCCTTCTAGAAAAATGTTTTTAAATGAATAAAATAAAATATATTAGGTTGTGAGATACATAGGAAGGCTATTTGAGCAGAGAGAAGGCAGCATGAGGAAAACACAGGCCGGGGAGCCCCTATAATCCTAGGGTGGCTCAAATGTAGGCCCCGTGGGGAGGAGGAAGCCACTGAGAAGGCGGCTTACTCCACCAGCTGAAGTTTACCACCTGAGTCTACCCGTGCCCTCCTGTTTCCTTCTTTTTTTGTTGTTTCTTTTATAAATATCTCCTAGCAATGCTGACTGAGCCCTCAGTAGGTACTTAGGTTGTTGATTCTTACTGATAATCATGGTTTCATTAAGGGCTCACTACATCATCCATATTAAGGCTGACAAAGAGCCAGGTGTATTTGGGCCCTAGCTGATGGCCAGCGTTTAGCCACAATACCTATGGGAAAGCAAACAGCATCGCTGATCCAGCATGGCAGACGAAGGGCCCCATACCAATAGGAAATCAATACACCTTTGTTGGATGGATGGCTGGGAGTCGTGTGAAATTCCTCCCTTGTATTTCATTAATTCCCTAAGGTCTCTTAGAGGCCTGTCTGCTGTATTTGTGTATTGTCTTCTTAAGCATTTTCTAGTTTTCCTATCCTGGGTACTAATTTGGCAGCTGTTTTGCAGAATGTAGAAGTACCAGAAGAGCCAGCTCAGAAAAATGCCTCTGTCAGTAATTGAAGAAAACGAAAAAGTCAACTTCAATATTCAGCGTTCATAGGTAAGTCACCTTTGCTTAGCTCAACTTATATCTCAGTGGATATTTAATCAGTAACTTGGGAACACTGATAATGTCAAGTTAAAGCCATGCATTTGTTTGACCTGTAATCCTTTCTCTTTTGTTTGACCTATTTATACATACCATCTAAATTTAATCAGAGTAAAACGTCAACTACTTGTAAGAGAAACGCAGGTCAAAAATTTCTTGTTCTCTGGACCCCTGGAATTTGAAATCTAAGGAAGTGAATACACAGGGCTTTCGAAATCGGAATCTAAATGAACATTTCCTCTGAATGCCTGTCCAGAAAGAACTCTTTTGATGGGGTTACAAGTTATATAAAAAGCTTTACTGACCTAGTAAGCACTTTCCTGATTTGAGTTTCCTTCTACCAACCTCCATGTCACATGCCCAGTTTCTTTAGAATCCAGTTGAAGTAGCTAAAAGGCATAACCGTTTCAGCTGTTTTCAGTGTAAGCATAAGAGCATTTTCAAAGCTCCATGGGCTGGCCGAGTGGCTCAGTTGGTTATAGAGCTTTCTCAAGAGTGTGAGCTCTGAGCAACAGGGTCACCAGTTCGATGCCCGGCCCAAGCTGAGCGGCTGCTGAGCTGCTGACAGGTGGCAGGATGGCTCAGCTAAAAAAAATAATAATAAAATAAAAACTCCATGAAAGCACTAAGCTTAAGTAGCCAGCCCTCTCCCTTTCTTCCTCTCACCTGTTCCTTTACTCTCTTTGCTGCGAATTTTTCATATTGACACTATGTCGCATGACCTTATGTTGATGAACATCAGGATATGGTTAATGTTTTAGAGTCTGGGAGCTCACAGCTCATTATCCAGCATTCATTGATTGTTTGTATTACTCTGTTTCCCTGCTAGGAGCCCATTTCTCATCTACATGGAAGGCAGGAAGCAGACATCAATACCTAATACTTAACCTTGGAAACAAAAAGAGGATTGTAATCCTTTGTAAGCAACATTTAATACCAAAGGGGAGCAGAAACTGAAAGTTAATTTTTAAACATCTATATTTTGTTTCTTTTCAAGTTAACCACTTGCACGTGTAAGCAGTATTTTTCATGTGTAAGAAATTAGGCCTTATTCTCTATTGTGTATATCCAAACTTGTAATTATGCTGAGAGAGAAAAAGATTTCCCTGGAAAGATGCAGACTACTACAGATTAAATACTGGAGAAGCTCTTTAAAAGTCAATATCAAAGAGAGAACCCTTACATACAAAATGCTATTTTAACTATCTGATTTTTTTTAAACCTATGCATGCATTATTTAAATGATAACCAGTAGCTTATCAGAGTCAGCTCCAAATCTATGAGAAATAGTATTCTCGCCTCTTGAGGTTTTAGCCCTGGATTTTGCTGTGCAAACAGACATAAAACGATCTGATAGAAAATATTTTTAACTGGAAATTATCTCCTCTGTTCCTGACAATGGAGGTCCTTCTGTCCCAATGCTGAGCAGAGCCCCATCCTGTCTGGTTCTCTAGCCCCATCCGTGTATACAAACAACAGTTTGCTGGAAGATCAAGTTTTATATGCATTTTAAAAAACGATTAAACTAAAACACTCCCATTTTAGCTTGTAATTTAATTTTTAAAAGAATATACTATGTGCCTATCTGTCCTTTAAGAGAATTGATCAGCTTCAGTCAATAAAACATATTTTTTAATAGTAATTTTCTTTGGTTTCTTTTCATTATACAGGAATAAAATAAGGAAGGTTAGTTGCCTGAAACCCAACCTGGCAAGTTAATTTCCTCAGGAATGGGAATGGATTTTTTAAAGCATTTCAGATATCAAAGTTCTATTGTGCTGGATAAACGGCTCTTTGTTCAAAGGTTTCAGTGCTGCTTCAGAGATGATTTTCATGAGTGGAGGAGCCACCCCATTTAGCCTTTTTAATTAGGGTGCTGAAAAGAGAAATTGGGTGAGGTTGGCCATGTTCTATATAAGTGCTTGTTGTTTCCCTCAGGCTAGCCAGCTCTGTGCAGAGCTAGGCTGAGGGAGCTGTCGTTAATTCTGAGCTGTCGCCTCCAAGTTAGAAACCTAAAATGCCCCTGCAGAGGCTGACTTCCAATCTGAGAATTGAGAATACTAAAATTCTCCTCCTTGTGATGGGCTCGTGGCTACATGTGAACTTGTCTAGTGTAGAGAGAACACCGATTATGTGTGCTAAGGAGAAAAAAAATCTCAGGAACTAAAAGGATTTGAAAAAAGTCAAAGCTGATTTTGTGTCTCCATATAATTCAGCTCATAGGATTATGGTAGCTACAACACCTATTCTTACCCCGGCAGGTGATTGTGGATTAGAGAACATGTAATTGACAAATGGGAAATCTTAGTATTATCAATTTATCTATCTCAGTATCTATTTCAATATGTGAGCAATTTCTGTTAGAGCGAGGCAGCCTCAGTCTGTGTGACATAGTTGCAAGATAAAACTAGATTTTAGCACTTACATTTTGTCACTGACATTCTTTCATCTTCAGAGGAGGCAACTGAATTGTACTATCATTTGCCTGCCAGAAATGATCTCAGTCATCAGAAGAGACTGGTATAAGGGTATTTTTAGAATTTGTGAACAGATCTTTTCAACAAATAGAAATACGCCAAAGAAAGAAATTCTGAATCAAGACTATCCATAAACACCAAAACCAGTTTTACCTAAAAAGGACCAATAGAATGCCTGGAATTGAGAGGCTCCGCAGGTGAGGCTGGTTCATTTCAGGAACGTGGCTGAGGACTGAAACCTTGTATATGCCCTGGCTACTTGATCCTGGGGTTTTCCTCAGTGGCCTTGACCTGAGATTCTTTTTTTCTCTGGTTAGATACCTGTAGCTGTGGGGTTGTTTTGAAGGGTAGTGCATCTTTGTTTCTCTTGAGCCATTTGAGGACAATTTCATTAGGGTCCATTTCAGGAAGGTTCCTCATTCTAGACCTGAAAAAGAAGAACCTTGGCAACCACTTCATATGGGATAGAGAACAGAGTGACTGTGATTGGATTAAGAGAACCAGACACATCAATCAGGACCAGAGCTGACTAGGCAGGTTCAAAACCAGAATGGTCTTTGAGAGGAGTTTATCAAATGAAGAGGGCACAACAGTCAGTCCTGTAAGGATGGTTTCTAGGTTCTCAGCCAAATACATGCGTAAGGAGATCTATAAAAAAAAAAAGAGCAAAATAATTTGAGCACACAGTAAATACTGTTTTGCTGACCACTGGGGAGACAACCCTGAGCAAAGCAGACTCAACCCTTGTTTACAGTCTAGTGGAGGAGACAGACTTTCATTAAATCATCAGAAATAGGTCATGAAATACTGGTAGGTGCCATGAAATAAAGCCTTGAGCTCCATGACAGCATTATAACGGGCATAGGGCATAGGGCAAGGGCAGAGGGCTCCGAGGAGGCTCCGGTGAGGAAGTGACATCTGAACTCAGCTGAAAGATGAGTAAACAAACAGGAAGCGGAAGGACATTCCAGACAATGATAACAGCATGCGCAAAGGCCCTGAAGTAGAAGGGGCGTGATGTGTTTTGAGACCTGATGGACCAGGATGGTGCAAGATGAAGCTGGACAGAGAGGCTGGGGCCAGATCACTCACACACCCACCCACACATGCGTGTCAATGAGGCAGTGTGGGAGTTGCGGCACCGTCATTTTAGTAAGTCCAAAGAGTTCAACTCCACTGTTTATCTTGTGTTTTCCTGGAAACGAGGTCTAGTTCATATTCCAAAAGCTTTGCCTGTGTAATACCCTGGGGGGAAGCATCAAACAGCCCTGGAGATTCACCCAAATGGCACCCTGATGCTGAGGATACAGAGCGTCACAGCCCCTCCGCTACCAACCCAGCATGAGAACCAAGTCTCCCTGAAGATGTTCCGAGATGAACCTTGAGAAACCTTGAGTGAGGAAGCTGTGTCCTTGTGTCCCCAGGAATGCTCTTTCATAAAACCAAGCCAAATGTCAAAGTGTAACAAGTTATGGGGGTTGTTGACTCACTTTTTCAACCCTTCATTTCACCCACGTTTATCAAACACTAGCCTCTGAGGGTATAAACCTGAGTAAGACGGTGGCCTTTGCCCAGCGGCAGCTCAAAATCTTACCCACGAGCAGATAAATTAGAATTCATCAGAGGTGTTTCAGCAAAGTGCTCTGGGATCCCAAACAGCCCTGAGCACAGTGGCTGGCACAGTAAAAAACTATTATTAAAAAGAGTGGGGGCGGCCGGTTAGCTCAGGTGGTTAGAGCACAGTGCTTGTAACACCAGGGTTGCCGGTTCGATCCCCACATGGCCCACTGAGCTGCATCTTCCACAACTAGATTGAAACAACTACTTGACTTGGAGCTGATGGATCCTGGAAAAACACACTGTTCCCCAACTGGGGAAAAAAAAAAGAAAAACAGTGGTAGTTGTTGCCAATGTTAAGTCACTATAGCATATGTTCTAGACCCAGAGAGGTTGCTGCCTGGTTTAAAAGAAGATGCTGTGCTAAGTGTGGAGTTCGCTGCTTTTGTTTGATATGGAAAAGGAGTCTGAGAAACAGCTGGTGTGGAGCCAGCAGCCCTTGTATTGTGGTCTTTATTTCACCACAGCTATTGGCTGGGGTGCCGAGGATTAAAAACGAGATAATACATGGAAAGGGTTTAGTCCAGTGCCTAGCAAATAGAAAGCATTCAATAACTATTAGCCATTGTCCTTTTATTGTGATTCTGGTAAGGAAGCCTTTCAGTAATTGGGATTAGATAAAGCGTGGTTAATTTCTCTCTAGTGGGGTGAGAAGAGAACCTTGTCAAATACAATTTTCAGGTGTTCAGTGTTAGCCCTAGGGCTAGGCAGTGAGGAATCAGCAAAGTCACAGAAAGAGGGGGGACCCCTTCTATAGAACCTTTCAGGGTTATAGAAGCATCACTTTCCCTCTTCAATGGGGGTCCTTAGTCGCTGTATTGGTTGATTTCACACCTATATTCTGATAGGAAAGCTGAGGATAACAGGAACAAAACAAACATTTGAAAGCATACACTTGGGAGAACTGTGATTTTTTTTTTTTACTGTAGCTTTGTGATGGATAATTTAAAAAGCAAAACCAACAATGTGTTTAAAAGCCCCACACCACCTCCAGTTACATCTTTTCGATGCACTTTGACGGCCCCACACTGTTTTTTGTTCGGATCTGTCTGCAGGCTGTCCCAGCCCCGCCTCTCCAGTGCCCGTACTGTGCCTGGGCTCTGGTCAGGTGTCCGCATGCTGAGCCGGCAATCTCTGAAAACGCACCCCACAGCCCCGCGTGGATAGCAGCAGTTACCTTAGAGATGCACAAAGAGGAGGCCGCTTAATCGTCTGCATTTTGACACATAAAACGGAAAAAAAAATATATGTGGTTGTGCTTCCATCGGTCAGATTCATTGAGGCCAAATTTTCTCCAATGAACCAGATCCGAGCCCGGTGCCGACAAGACTTCGTGAGCCCAGGGTGGAGGGCGGTGTGGGGGAAGGGAATTGGCCTGCGCCCCGACTCGGGAGGAAGGAGGAGCGACGGCCAAGGGAGGAGGGTGGAGGTGTGGAGCGGCTGGGGGCCTTGGCCTGAGTCCGCCAGGCTAGAAGGGGCGGGGCGAGCGCCGGAGGGGCGGGGCCGGGGCGACGGGCAGGGCGGGGCGCGGCGGCCTCGCGGTGCCTAGGCTCGGGCGGCCGGCCGGGACGCGCTCAGTCGCGCGGAGCCGGGCCCCGGAGCGCAGGCGTCGGCAGGATGAACAGCATCAAGAACGTGCCGGCGCGGGTGCTGAGCCGCAGACCCGGCCACAGCTTGGAGGCCGAGCGCGAGCAGTTCGACAAGACCCAGGCGAGCGGCGCCTTCTCCCCTGTCCTCTCACACGCGTCTCTCAGGGCCCTGCCTGCACCCGCATCCGGAGCGCCAGGCCCGCTCCCCGCCCCCTCGCTTCCCGGCCTCCGCCGCCCGAGCCGCCCCGCGCGCAGGTGAACCGGAAGCGCGCGCGGGGCGCCTGGGGCCGAGGTGACCCGGGCCGGGATGCGACTGGGGACCTCGGTGGGCCGGGGAGCGGGCCCAGATGGAGAGGGCCCGAAGTGGCCGGAGGCCGAGATGCGGCAGCGGGCCAGGTGGGGTCGAGGTGTGCGCCGCCGCGTCCAGGTGCGCGCGCCGGCGCGGCCCGACGGACTCGCTCCGACCTTGGTGGCGCCCCCTCGCCGGCTCCTGCAGACGGGCCGCTGCCCCCTTCTCCCACGCCTTATAAAAATAAAAAATGCCCCCACCCCAGGGAAGCAATGCATTTCCTTGAAGGAAACTCCCTGTTTCCTTTCCTCCTGAGCTGTTTTCCAGTGGGCCGCGCCATCTCTTATTACCAACTGGGCGAAAAGTTTCACGTAGGTAGCCAGACTTGTTTGCCCGAGCGCTGGCCCACACGTAAATAGGTTCACACCCCCTTATTAAATACCGGCGCCTGACAGACAGAAACTTCCTCGGCCCCCTTCCTGCACTTCCCACGCGCCTGCATCGCTTCCAGAGGGTGGCCTATCCTGGGAAGGTTATTTTAAACACGAGACAATGGCGCGGGTGTGTATTTTGGACCTGTGTGCCTGCCGAAAACGCAGCATGCAGGCGTTGCCGTGCTTCTGGTTTTCTGTTCCTTTTTATGTTACAAACGCGGAGGGGTTCTTATGCCCAGGGGAGGGGAGAGCACACGTGTTTATTGGCCAAAATAAGTCAACCAACGCCGAAATAGCCGAGAAACCTTACTTTCGAAATCAAGGAAGCCGAAAGGACCCCTCCCCGCCCCTGTCTGAGGCTGGATGGTGACATTTGTGGCTGCCTTTAGCAGGTTCCTCCCCTTGCAGAGAGCAGTGACTTGCGGTTGCTTTCAGAACAAGTGAGCACAGAAGGTCTACAGCAGCTGTCGTTTGGAAATAAAAACTCAGGGGGCCGGCCGGACCTTCAACCTTTGTGCTTGTGCCTGATAATAAAACCTTGGGACACCAGGGCTTTATGAAAACCAAGTTATAGAACCAACCTGGCCACAAATGAACTTACCCTTGTGCTCACCAGCATCCTCTGGGCTACGGTGTTTTGTCAACCCAGATAGCCCATCGTAAAACAAAGGTGGCACTTACTTTAAAGCCATGAATACATCATCGATTGTGCCAGGGAACTTACGGAAGGATGGGGAGAAAACTTAATTGGCAGAGAGAACCTGGGTGTGGTCAGAAGCTTTCTTCATTCACTGATTTTTAGATATCCCCCCCCCCCTCACTTCTGAGGAGGTATACAGAGCTCTGATTGCTACATAGAGAAGATGGAATTTAAAGGGCCAAGTTTATTGATGTTACTCTTGAGTTACTATAAAGTCAACCTTCTTGAACGTCAAAGAGAAAGAATTTTTGACATAGGTCCACACATTGTGGTAGTTGGTTTGGGAAGCAAGAAGGCGTTTTGTTTTGTTTTTGCTCGTTGGGTTTGTGTCAGGGGCTGAGGGGGTTACTGATAATGAGTAACTTCCTAATGGGTCAGTCTCCTAGCATTTACCCCGTCCAGGGCCCATTTTTCTGGAAAGATGGAGTTTGGGTTCAGTGTCTGGGTTTGCTTGTCTGCAGAGTGACTTACCCAGGGATGTAGGAATAAGGTTTTGTGCATGGTTAATATTTAATTAGATCGCTTCCACAAATACTTAGCGAGCTGCTAGCCAGGCCCCATTGGTGGACGGGACCTGGAGAGCCGAGGTGGCTGCCTTCATATCTCCTCTGGACAGAAAATAGCACATCCACCAGCCTCGCCTTGTGGGCTCCTTGGTCGGGAGCAGGAAATATGCTTACACATTAGCTTTGTTGACGGGCCACACACCCTGTTTTGCAAAGGTCCCTTCCCACCCCAGTCAGGAGGGCTCAGAGAGGGTAGCTGGTACTTGTGGTTGTGTGGTGTGAGTGTGTGTGTGTGTGTATGTGTGTAATCCTAGGGGGAGTGTCCAGAAAGCTGGTCTGTTCTTCCCCGTGGCTTTTGTCCCTTTGGTGATAAAACCCCTTTTCAAAATGGAGATGATAAAATAGTGTTGGCTTTCTGCTGTTGTCGTAGCGTGTCGAATACAGAATACAGCACACCTGCCTTCCGACCTTGAGTGCTGCCTGAAAAAGGATGGATAGTGTTGTATCATGGAAGGCATTCTAGGCATGTAGACCTGAGGGCGAGCCTGTGTCCCTGGGCGTGCTTAACTCCTGAATCTGTGTCCCAGGTTGCAAGAATGGAGATAATTCCATCTACCTCCCAGGGCTGTTTTAAGGTATAGAGAGATACTGGCTGGCAGGCTGAATAACGGCTCCTCAAAGATGTGCTTGTCCTAATTCCAGGAACCTGTGACTGTTAAGAAAATGCCAGTCAGCTGACTTTAAAATAGCGATGGCAGCCTGGGCTAGCCAGTTGGGCCCGGTGTAATCCCGGGGTCTTTCAACGTGGAAGAGGGCGGTGGGACAGGCGGTCAGAGTGATTCTCTTGCTGGCTTTGAAGATGGAGGGAGGGGCCGCTAGCAGAGGAACACGGACCAGCGTCCTCTAGGAGCTGGAGAAGGCAAGGCAACGGATGCTCCTGGAGAGCCTCTAGAAAGAAACGCAGCCCTGCCGACACCCTGACTTTAGCTGCCTAAGACCCACCTCGGACTTCTGACCCCTAGGCTGTAAGATGATAAATTTGTGTTATGTTAAGCCACTGAGTTTGTGGCAATTGGTTGTGGCAGTAATAGGTTACTAATTGCATACAGAATGCAAAACAGGTGGTGTAGTGCTCTGCAAATTGTCAGCTGTCTTTCTCCCTTCCCTCCGCACCCTGCTAAAGCTTTAAAATATAAGAACTGTTTCAGACCTTCCCCTGGAGAGGAGACCCACCTTGGAGACCTATCGTGGATGAGGACTCAGCAGATAGGGAGTCTTGGGAACACTCAAGCCCAGTCTTGCTTTTTCCTTATCTCTGAGCCCCTTTGCTTCTCTGGGCCTCATTTTCCCCTGCAGGATGTAGAAATAGGTTCCTATCGGGTCAGGGTGAGAGAGGGGCCACACTTCAGTAAGCCAAGCCTAGCGTGGAGGTGAGCTAACCCAGGTGTTAAGGGTCTGCTGGTGGGGAAGGAACTGCAGAGAGGGGCATCCTGTGGAAAAAAATTTCATGGGTCAGTGGCATCCCCTCCCCAGCCTGCGAGGAACTGAAATCTTGTAGAGATGAACCCTCCTTGACAGGACTTCTCAGCCCGGGCTCCTGTTAGTTAGAATAGCGCAGTCCAGTAGAAACAGAAGACGAACCCCATGTGTGACTAGATCTCCTGGTAGACACGTTACAGAAGCAGGTGAGATTCATTTTAATCGTATATTTCCTTTCGTCCAGTGACTCCAAAGTACAACCATTTCAACGTGTAATCCCTGTAAAAATTATGAATGGAATAGTTTACATTCTTTCCCTCCTAAGTCTTCAAAGTCCATGTGTGCCTTTGAACACACAGCGCCTATCAGTTCAGGCTCACAGACCTCAGGTGCTCATAGCTCCACGTGCCGGCGGCTACCTGTTGGACCGCACAGTCTGATAATCACCTGGGGGGCTTTTAAAAAATATCAATGCCCAGGTGCCCGAGGTTCGGGGTGATTTGGTCCAGATTGGAGCCCAGGAAAAAAAAAATTTTTTTTTTTTTTTTTAGTTTCCCAGCCAGGGATTCTTTAGAATCTCATTCTTGGGAATCTCATTGAAGGCAGAGCACAGGACACAGGTGTTTGGGAACTTAAGTGTCTCTTGGAAAGCTCTTTCGGACTCCCATGCTTTGCACATGCTGGTCCCTCTGCCCTGACTCCCTTCCCACGTGTGTCCATCGCCCCCTCCACCGCCTCCTTCTGTGGAGTCTCCTGATGGGGAGGCAGACTTACCCACGCCCACCGTGTGATGTGGCAACACTCTAAGTCACTAACCCCTTTCTGGGCCTCATTTAAATGTTTACAAAAAAAAGTTCCTGAGTTTGGAAGAAATCTAAGCCAGAGCCGCCCTCAGCCCTGTGCCACTGCTGTCATGGGGGCTGACGGTAAGCCTTGTGAGGGCGGGGGCAGGCCTGTGTCCTCCCTGCCAAGTCCCCGTGTGCCCGCATGGTTCCTGGCACACGGAACAGACTGCTTGAGTGGCTGAAGAACAGAGGCAAGGCCAGGCCCCTTTGTGAAAAGGGGTGGGAGCGCCAGGCTCACAAGCACCCTAGGACCCTGCACCGAAGTTACCTGTGAGCCACACTTACCTCCCTGCTGAGGTATGTCCCCAGCTGGGGTGGGTCATGGGTAGTGAGCTGCCCCTTCCACCAGGTTCTGCCATGTTAGATACACGTTTGTGAGGCAGCTGACTTCCTGACTGGGGCTGCCAGAAACCCCCTAGCCCTCGGGTATCAGGACCTCTTGGTCCAGGTGGGGGTGCGGATGGAGCCGCTAGTCCTTCCCCAACTTCTCACCTTTGATGCACACTTGTCCCAGGACATGTTCATGAGCACCATTTACTGTGGTGGCTTGTGTCTGGTGCCTTGTGGAGCGCTACAGTGTGAGAAAGAGCATTCTCGTGCTGTCCCACGAGTTTTCATTTCAGTGAAGCAGGTGGACGGGTGTGCAGAGCAGTTAAGAGGAGCCCTGAGCCTCAGTCTCCTCCTCTGCAAAATGGGGATGATAACTGGCTGTGAGGACTGACAGGATGCCCTCAGGCCTGGTGCAGAGTCAGTGCTGTGTTAGCTGCTCCGTAGTGCCCAGAAAGGCAGGTTGGACGGGAAGGAATAATGTCCCTCTTGGCCCTCTGTAGACGAGGAGTGGAGTGGGGGGCAGTTTGGAAGAGAAGCA